AAAAAAGAGGGGCGAAAGAGGGGGGAAGACGGCAGGCACGCTTGATGGCAACATCTACCTAAAGCGACCAGTGATGAACAACTAAAATCGGGCTCGAGCTCGGCTCGTCAGAAAGCTCGAGCTCGCGAGCTCGAGCTCGAGCTCGAAAACCTCGAGTCCGAGTTCGAGCTTTTTACTAGCCGGTTCGTCGAGCTCACGAGCCGGCTCGGCTCGTTTACCACCCCTAGTTTTAGTTAATAGTCACAAAATGGGCCTCATCGATCATACGATGGGCTAATTGGGCTATGGTAGAAAAAAAAAATCTCAAATCTTATTGCTTATTGGAGTTCTTTGAGAGAAAATTGGGGGGAAAATTATGGTAGGAATTAGTATGCAGGAATGGCGGTAGCAGCGCCACCTTCTTCCTCCGTATCTCCCGTCTTCCCAAAATTCAATACAGCAAAACCCTAATTGTGTTGTGATTTCTGCACTTCGGTCACTCGGAATCGCGATTCAAGCTCGATGATCTCCATTGTTGCAACCTTGTTGCCTGATCTGCCGTCTTCAATTTCTGGATGGATCGGTTTTCGATTCCGCCCTGTTTTTATTCGGGTAAAAAATTCAGCTTTTTTTATCATTTTTTAGATTATACCCTTCGATTTTTAAATTTATCATACGGGAAGGGATGAAGCTCAACCACCATGTTTGCTCTTTCTGCAACTCTTTGCGAATAGTTATTTGATTGGAAAATGAATTTTATTATCCAAGCTTACTTGATTTTAGGGAAATTGAATATATGACTAGTAATGAATTGGAACAATCCCCATTCATAATGTTTATAATAAAACCCTTACATGATTTGTGATTTTCACGTAGCACTGAAATTCCAAGACGATGAACTATTGTCTGTGGAGAATGTTTAGATTGAAGTCGAAAATCGGGAAATGAGTTTTTGCGTCGATTCCAGATGAATATAACTAGAAATTAGTCAGAGATGATTGCTTCAGTGGTATTGGACGATTAGCGAGCTTATCCTTGCTCTGTGTTTACTTCTTCGATGTTTCTCTAATACGAGATAGTCCCCTAACTTTGCGTCGGTTGATTAAATATATTTATGAAATAAAAATCACACTGGTTGTGCTGTTAGTCATACGACAATAGCAGTGATGTTATATGCATGTTGCTTGTAATCGTGGTGGAATGTGTAGTGTTACAGAAAGATAGTAATACAAAAGATAAACGATATATTTCATTTCAGATTAACCTAGAATATGTGGTAGACTTTTAGAGATACTGTTCAACTAAATGTATCGGTACTTCAGGAAATGTGTCGTTTAAGGTAAATGCACACCGACTAAGAATGTTATTAAATAATATTGATTTTTACGGATTTTTTTATATTTTTAAATAACATTCATCCTTAAATGGACGAAATGGTCTGAACAACCCTTACATTTTTATAAGTATGTTCTATTTTCATGGAGAGGGAAATAATTTGCAGCCATTAGAGCAGAAATGGAGTGCCCTATTGAGTAGGCGCAGATAGTTGGAAGGAGGGACTTTATCTCTCTAACAGACAGATTAAAACAACCAGAAAAAAAAATTCCGCATCGATTAAGCTAGTTTTAGCTGTTTGATCTTGGCTTAACATTTGCCTATCTCTTTTTAAGCAAGTCCATGTTTAGTGCCCAAAATTTTTTTTTTCCTGATCCTGTTTGGTGTTGAAGTCAGTAACGGATGCACCCTTTGGCAAAAGTGGACTCCAGCCCACTGTCGATTACTTTTTTTTTTTTCTCACACTGTTTTATAGCTTATTCATTTATTTAGCCCACCTAATTCATATTGAGTAGTGACACAATCACGGAGAGTTCTAAAATAATGAAAATTCAAAAAGATCAGTTGTAGTTTGTATAGAGTTTACATGATCATATTCTGAGATGTAATTGAAAATGGAGTTTATGCTACTATAGTTAAAATTTATTAATACTTGCTCTGTGTTATTTTTTACGAACAATTCTAAAAGTAAAAACAATAGGGGGCCACGAACCCCCCCTTTTTTTTAGCCCACCCTATTACGAAATCTTGGCTCCTCCATGCAGTATTTATGAATAATGCCCAATTTTGAAAATGTTGATTTGATTCTCTTTATATTTATGCAGGGATAACCTAAAGTTATTTCATCTGGTGGGTTGAAGAATGGGGATAATGATTAAATAAATGAAGAACGGTACAATTTCCTATTGGAGGCTCACGTCACGATGGCCCACGAGTGTTTTCAAAAATTCTATACGTGTGAATGTGATTTCGTAATATATTATGCGGTTATGAGAAATGAAGAAGCCAACCTACCATACTTGCTTTTTTTCGATAGGCACGTGTTTGTATTGTGTCGTCTATTACATGCATACAGAATCAGATTCTATCTGTACATTTATAAAAGGGTTTGCCTCGGTTGCATTCTGGACACAAACACACTTAGGGTTGCGGCATAGAAGGCTGTGCTGCGGCGTAGAAAGAAGAGATTTCTCGGCAGATTGTGACAGTCATTGATAGAAAAAAAAGGTAAGAATTAAAGGAAGATCTAATTATTTTTGCTGAATTTGTTTGTGTCTCTGTTATTTCTGATTAATTTTCTAAAATTGGTTTAGGGATCTGTAGATTTAATTGAGAATTAATTGCACGTCTTATGAAGAAAAAATATTTCTTAATCTGCATTTTAATGAACTTGGTAAAATTTGTGTGTGCATTTCTCTTAATTGAATGACTTTAGTTATTTGTGTATTCCATGCTTAGAATTATAAAGAAATGTGTGAAAAATCACAGATCCAACATTTGATTTTTGGGAATTGTAATTGGAATGTTTTTAAATAAACTGTGTTTGGGTGTGTGTTACCATTTGAATGCCCTAACATTTATTTATTAATTAATTTGAAGTTTCTGAACAATTTATTAAATCGGAGTTCACTATCTATCATGCGATAAATGAATCTGCTTATTCATCAGAATACGCTCCGTAAGCCGTGATTTATGATTTATTGCTATTTAAAGCTGTGATTATCCCTTCATATGTATTTCACAATTGCATTAGGAGATCTTTCATGTGATACAACTAGAAAAAGCAAAATGGTTCGACTAGTCTAATTCCATAGTTAACTATGAGTTTGATTGTGATGTATGTGTAGAGATTTCAATAGTATGTAAAAGGTTATGTCAGTATTTATCGAAACATAAATTGTTTGATTTATCTATATTTTTTTTTAGTTTCAGCGAAAAGGATGCATATCGTCAAAAAACGCCGTAGATCTCTTGAAAAAGCCCCAGAGAACAAGAAGATGAAGGAAGAAAACGGGGCTGATTCTGATGGGATAGATAGAATCAGCAATTTACCGAACGAAATCCTTTGTCACATTCTATCACTCATGCCCGTAAAATACGCAGTCGGCACCTCTATTCTCTCCACCAAATGGAAGAACCTCTTCCCTTTAATCCCAAACCTGAGGCTCCGATTGGACGATTCTTTACTCTTACACCCAGAAACTCCCCCAATCGTTTACCTAGTCAGCTTTATCAAGTTCGTCGACAGGTTGCTCAACATCACTCTACTCGACGCGCCTTCTCTACAGTTCCTATGCCTGCTGTGCCAGAAATTCAACGACGGGCGAGTAATCGGCAGGTGGATCAGTTCTGCACTGCGTCTCAAAATCAGGAGGATGGACATTCGCATCCGCCGACTCAGATTCCCTAAGTTCATATTCGACAGTCTTTACGGGTGCAATATCACCTCGCTGAATATTTTGTTCGACTTTGCCGATAACGCACTTGTGTGCAGATTCAACCTGCCGAATCTCCACATGCTCTCGGTCCAGTGCATGAAGTTCGTTCACCTGAATATTCTTGTGGCATCTTGCCCAGTGTTGGAGTACTTAGTGCTGAACAGTTGTATCTGCCAGCCTGGCAGGGTGCTCAGGATCTCCGTTCCTTCTTTGAAGGCTTTGAAAGTGATCAGTGCGGTCCACGCGTTCCAGAGTGAGTTTGAGATCGATGCCCCGAATCTCGAATATATAAACTACGAAGGATTCTTGGTTAAGAGTTATAAGGTAACGAGGATGCGGTCTCTGAGGATAGCTCGATTTGAACTAGACGAAACTTTCGTTCAGTATCCATTTGATGCTGGCGAGAAAGCGTTTGAGCTTGCTAGGTCTTTTGCTGGTGCTGAGAAGTATTGGATGTCGAAACAATTTATAACGGTTAGAGCTTTTTTTTTTCTTCGTTTTTTTCTTTCGTTAAAAAAAAGATGGAATATAGTATTAATGTTAATAATTTCATTGTTTGTGCAGCTACTGCAAAATTGCCCCCAACCGCTGCCCATATTTACGAAAATGATTTATGTGTCCATAAAATGCATGGACTTTAACGGGTGGGGATTGCTTGCTCGTCTCCTTGGCTGTGCGCCATTGCTAGAGAAGCTGTTGTTCAGATCGGTAATGTTACGAAACTATTGTGCTTAGACTAATAGCAGTTGTTTAATTTCTCCATAGTTAATCGGCTTGTGGTTTTTCTTTCCAAATTGTGTAGGGTTTTGATCTCGAGAGCTACGAAAATTTCAAGGCTTCTCTGCAGGAACCAGTGTCCTTTCATATGTCTAGGGAAGGTGTATCGTTCGTTGTTTTGCAAATCGAACGTAATGTTGAAGGAAACTGAGTTCGTCTTTTTCGCCTGGTTGTAGTGGTGCAGTGCACAGCTGAAGTTAGAGGCTTTCTTTTTTTTTTTCTTTTTTTTTTTTGAACAAAATGGTAAGGATTTCTCAGGAATTCTTCCTGTAAAATGTGAACCTCTGTCATAATAAGTCATTTAATTGACAAAATATTCAATATTTTCTGGCATTTTATTTTGGATTGTATCGTTTATTGAATGCTTGGATGATGGACCAGGTGTCCTATTTCTTTTTAATTATTATCCGTAATTTATAAATTCCGCTCGTTTGTCGGCGAGATTAGCTATGATTGATTTAGTATTATGATTTCATTTGATGTTTGGTATCGGATATTTATTTTTCAGGAAAAAAAGCTCTTATTTTGATTTATCGAAATCGGTCTAGTTAATACGAAAGGCATAACGAGATACACCACGATTAATTATATAGACACAGAATCGATATAAAAAAGTCGAAAAGATAGCACAAAAGTACTATACATAGGGGTCAAGATTCATGATCAAGAATGAAAAGCATAAAGTATAACTTTGAGATAATGAAAAGAGTTTAGAATCTCATTCCAATCCCACAAAGTTAATAAAACAAAACATTTTTTTAAATATTATTTATTTAATCATCAAAACAAAACCCATATTTCTCAATCTTCTTGTGTTTAAGGTTTGGAATCTTGGATTGGTTTAATTTGTTCTAACATCAAACCTAATTCCTAGGATAACAATGTCAGCATGCCTGTAGATGAAGCATTGCATCTCACACCCACAAGCCACCGCCGCCATTGAAGCTATTATCATCTTCTTATATCAAACTTGTCACAATCTCTACTATTTTCTCTTCATTTCAAGAATACCATGGCCCTTTTCTCCTTCTTCTTCTTCTCGTTCGTTCTTCTCTCGAGTTCTAATCCCTTTTCAAATGGTAATCTTTTTTATTTTTCTTTTTCGGCCGAGTTTATTGCATTCAATATCCTGTGTTATATCGAATTGCTAAAACCCTCATCGTATTACAAATATTAGCAAAAAAGCCCCTACGATGTTAAAGTAGTGAGTTTTTAGGTGGTAGTTTGCTAAAGTGTTGCATTATAGGGGAATTTTTACTAATATTTATAACAATGGTTTGTTTTAACAATTAGAGTAAATACAAGACTACTAATGTTTCTTGTTTCTATTTTTTTTTTTGTGTAGTTGTGGTGGTAGATGCCTTCACCGGCACGTACGGAGTAAACTACGGCAAACTAGCGAACAACATCCCCCCACCGGAGAGTGTCGTAACCCTACTAAAAGCCGCCAAGATAAAAAACGTCCGAATCTATGACGTGGAGCCTGCAACACTACGAGCCTTCAGTGGGTCCGAGATTGAGATCATAGTGGGCCTCGGAAACGAATTCCTTAGGGACATAAGCGTAAACCCGGACCGGGCGGTCCAATGGGTCAAGGAAAACGTGGAGCCCTACCTCCCGGGTACCCACATTGCCGGCATCGCTGTCGGCAACGAGATCCTCGGCGGGGGGGACCCGGAGCTCTGGGAGGTCCTGGTCCCCGCCGTGAAAAACGTCCACAACGCCCTCGAGCGGGTCGGCCTGTCGGGCCGGGTCGAGGTGTCCAGCCCGCACTCGGAGGCCGTTTTCGCCACGACGTACCCGCCGTCCGCGGGGGCGTTTAAGGAAAGCGTGCTCCCGTACATGACTCCACTCCTCGAATTCTTCGCGCAAATAAAGACACCTTTCTATATAAACGCGTACCCGTTTCTAGCGTACATGAGCGACCCGGCCCACATCGACATAAAGTATGCCCTGTTCGAGTCGAACCCGGGAATCTCCGACCCGAAGACGAAGCTGCATTACGACAACATGTTCGACGCGCAGGTGGACGCCGCGTACTTCGCGCTCGAGAAGATGGGGTACGGCGGCATGCCGGTGATCGTGTCGGAAACCGGGTGGGCTTCGAAGGGCGACGAGAGCGAGGCCGGAGCGAATCTGAAGAACGCCAGGACTTATAACCTTAACTTGAGGAAGAGGCTTCTGAAGAGGAAGGGGACTCCATACAGGCCCAAAGTGGCGGTTCGGGCTTATGTTTTTGCCTTGTTTAACGAGAATATGAAGCCCGGCCCGACTTCCGAGAGGAACTTCGGTTTGTTTAAGGCTGATGGGAGTGTTTCTTATGATGTTGGCTTCACTGGTCTTGTTCCCAGTTCTTCACCGCCTTCTTCTTCTTCTTGTGTGATCTACGCCGCCGCCGCCGCGGCGGCGGCGGCGGGGGTTCTGGTGTTCTGAGCGGTGGCCGGCAGTTTGGAACAGAGGATGCAGATTGTTGTTTAATATAAATTAATTAATTCATTCATTCATTTATGCTCAAAAAATGTACATTGTTGATTTCTTTGAACATCATAATTGAACAAATTCTGGAGTGATTCCCATTTCTGAAATGTACCACTGGTTTTCTAGTTTATTGCATTTACTACCCCTGATGTTATACCAAATTGCTAAAAAACTCAATGTGTTATTAATATTAGCAATAATACCCTAATACAATAATCTACTATATATGGCGAAGAATCTTGTCTTTGTACGATGATTCTCGTAAATAAATCGTACTAGAAGAGATAAACGAAACTAAAGGAAACCAGAAAATCACCCTGAAAATTGAATCCTTTCGAGTATAGTATTTATATGTGTAAAAATTTCAGCACTGCAAGTCTGTAAACGAATCGAGTCGAGTCGAACGCATGATTGTTCAGGTTCGTAAGATTTTCTATCGAACTTAACAATCGCATTTAAGTTTGGTTTCATTAACAATTGTATTGGAGATATTAATATTAAATGATACATTTCACTAACAGCTTAAGCTTTTGGTTGAGATGGTCATTCAACATGGTATCAGAGCCAGGCCAAATGAAAGGTTTTGAGTTCGAATCCCACAGCCACCCATTTAAAAATATTTCAAGTGCAAGGCTTCAAATGTAATTCGCCTGCACTTGAGGGGGCGTATTGGAGATATTAATATTAAATGATACATTTCACTAACAGCTTAAGCTTTTGGTTGAGATGGTCATTCAACAAATTGGGTCGAGTTCGAACTAGTTTTAATTAAGAAATACACAAATTCAATCTCGAGTAACTTGTTTTTCATACACAGTTTTTTTTCAATCTAATTGAGCTCGAACATAGCTTCTTATTTTATCGACAAAAAAGATATGTGATCAAGTTTGATTTGTTCTCGCCTGCACTTGAGGGGGCGTATTGGAGATATTAATATTAAATGATACATTTCACTAACAGCTTAAGCTTTTGGTTGAGATGGTCATTCAACAAATTGGGTCGAGTTCGAACTAGTTTTAATTAAGAAATACACAAATTCAATCTCGAGTAACTTGTTTTTCATACACAGTTTTTTTTCAATCTAATTGAGCTCGAACATAGCTTCTTATTTTATCGACAAAAAAGATATGTGATCAAGTTTGATTTGTTCGTTATGTTAATACAACGAGCTGAAACGAGTTATTTCACGGCCGATTTCAAATCAGAACATCGAGTAGTTTGGTTCGATTCTCAACTGCAGAAAAAAAAGAAAAAAAAAATCCTAATTGATGTCAAGAGTCAACAAGGTCTTCAAGACTTGCTGCAACAACATTGATTTTTCCTCATAAAACACACTTTGATTTATTCCACACTCATAACTTCAATTACCAGCCTTAGTGCCTTTGTATATACTCCAATTGGGAGACTGAAAATTCCACAAACTAGACTAAAGGAACATGAATTAAAACTGAAAAATCACGGCATTTCAAGAAACCTTCTCTATATATACTCCTCTACATACAAACACTTCACAAACCACAAAAAAGAACTTGTAATTAGTATCCTATAAATTAATCACTAGTACAACTTTCTCAATTTTCCATTTATAAATCCCAATTTTGTTTAATTGCAAGAAATTGAGAAGAAAAAAAATGGATGGGGTTTCATGGTTGATGATTTATGGTGCTATTTTTGGCATGCTTTTGAATTGTGCATTAGCACAAAATGTGCATGTTGTTGGAGATGGCATGGGGTGGATTGTACCGCCAAACGGTCCCTTATCCTACTCCAATTGGGCTTCCGGAAAAACTTTCATGGTCGGTGACATCCTCGGTACGTAATAATTTTTTTTTCTTATAAAATTTTCACTGCAGAACATATTTACGTGGATTTCTACTAAGAGCATCATACCCGATAAAAGAAAGCTATGATTTGGAGCTAAATATAAAGTTTAGCTATTCTACCGTATTTTAGCTACTCACTCGAGCAACACGCTTTTTGATTTAATATTTAGACCACAAAATAGTTAGAGATGTGTGATCTTGTTACATCCTCTTACAATCATACAACGATATTTTTCTCTTCCCGTTCTATATAGTGTTCAATTTTGTGACCAACGAGCACGATGTTCTCCGAGTACCTCGAGCCTCGTACGACGCATGCACGCAAGACAACGGCATCGGTGGTGTCATCACCGCGGGGCCCGCAAACATCACTATCGACTCAAACGGGGACCACTACTACATCTGCACTTTCGGCCGCCACTGCCAATTCGGGCAGAAGCTAGCCATAACTGTGGGCCTGCCGCCCTCCACTCCTGGTGGGGCCATGCCGCCAGTGATGGCCCCTCCTGCGGGCCCCACTACCCCCTCGCCCGCCTCATCTCAGCCGGATGCGTGCGCACCGACCCCCTTTTCACCCCCCATTGGTGGAGGCCCAAATTCTAGGGCAACTCCACCTGATTCTGCCTCAACATCTTTGGCTAGCAATGTTTTGGTTATTTTACTCTCGGCCTTCATAATAGCCTTCCTCTTTTAAGATAATATTATTATTATTATAATTATTATTATTAATAATATTTTTGTGTGTGTGTGCTACAATAATAAAATTGGTTTGAAATTTTTATACATTTTAATTTTTGTATTATCAGATTGTTCTGGTTGATTAATGTAATGGTTCTTTTTGTTTGATCACTAAATAACATAATTTATTTTATTATTTTCTCTAGATTTTTGTATTATTGATCTCTTGCTATCATGTCAAGTTGTGTTGTCAGAATTTATATTTCAAAAAAAATAAAAATTCATTGCGTTCGCTAAACTACGACAATAATTCAAATTTATGTAGGCCAACATTTTATTTGAATTATTTTCCCAAAGGTGTGTATGCATGGTTGTATCATGCATGTATCCATAATGCATTTATTTACCTATACAAATTTATGTCCCACAAAATACTGTAACATTATAGTATAAAATATAAATACTATACTTTAATTTCAAGTCTTGTCACATTCAAGATTTTTTATGCATATATATAGAAAAATTAATAAAATTTAAAATATTAAAATTTGGATTTCGCAATGAAGTTGAAAATCACCATTGGATCCCCAGAAGTTACTCATAGATGGCCCAATCATAAAGTCGATAGAGCCCGCGGATTGGCCTCTATAAATTATTATTAATATTTTAGGGCCCAAACATTATTATTTTTATTTTAAAATATAGTCACTTATAAATGAATTGATCCCGTGACTTTGACTCTGATACCATTTGTAGGAAAGCAAGCGGTACCGGTTGTCTTAAATTTAATTGATGTCAGAAAAAACGCAAACTCTAGCCTTATCATTTATAACTGTCAGAAAACACGCGAACTCTAGTCTTTAAACCGACATTGATGAAAAATCGAGGCTTATATTGAAATTTCAACTTTGTCAAACACAAAAATCAAACATCCTTTGTAATGACATTGCAGGAAGCTTCTACTAGGCTTTGGCGATGATAGTACTATGAATTAAATAACCTTAATTATGATTTCATAATTATTTTCTGACCATAGATTTGGTCAACTCCCCTAGATCACACTTCGTGGAGTAATTACAATCATATATATATATGACCTATATTATGTACTATTCTTGAACTATGTTCAACTAACACTGTTTTCAAAATGTACGTCAAAACATTGAGAAATAATTAGTGATAATGATCAAATGTTTGAATTTTTCTTTGCTTTGCTACCACATAATTCTAAGTCAAGTTCACCTTTTGGGGTTCCATATATTTTTTTTAGAATCAAATTATTGACTCTAACTTTTTTTTTTTTTTTTTTGCAATAGAAGCTAAGTGTTAGCGTGGTCGGCTACATAATCGAAGATTACTAGAAGTTCTGAAAATAGTAGGCGATTTAGTCCACGTGTTTTAACTTTCGTAAAATCAAAACTAGATCATTGGCTAGAGGGTTATTAATAATGGATTGGTGGTTGATTATTTATTATATCTCACTGATCCACTAACTCATTATCTTAGTGTTTATTTTCTGGCTTAACTTGTGTAGGTAGTTGATGCATTTTGAAGTAGATAAAACCAGTCCATATTGCTAGTTAGTTTTCACTACGGATTTTAGAAGAGAGAAGTTAGAGCCATTAGAGAGAAGAAGCAAATAGATAATAGTTGTTACTATATCTCTTTTAGAGTCTGTTGTAAGTACTCGTCTTGAGTGCAGAGTTTGTAAGTCTGGAGATCTATTAGTTCATATTGAAGAAGCTAGACTTAACTGTAGGAACGAACGATCTGTGTAATATACGTTTATAATACGAAAGATTATTTACTTCCTTTCTTGTGTATTTTTGTAATACGGTTTATATAAGTACGTATTTCGTCTTTGAATACTGTCCACAAGTAAATAGATATTAAACTATGTGTTTATTTTCATTTATTATGCTGCATGTTATGCTGAGTCTTATTCCATTTCACATAACATCTTAATTTGAATTATATACTACGAATTCGGGGCAATTGATTTTTTCAAAGTCGTTTCGAACTTATGCCACAAAACTAAATAAAAATCTTTGTATATAGATGTGCAAATTATAGCCAACTTGGATTCAATACGCACATGTTATTCAATTCACACACGTTCTTTTTCCTGATAAAGATAGCCAGCTTGTATTGATTTATGAAGTGTGAAATTGCTGAAAATATGGAATATAAGATGGATGATAGAGATTAATTCATATGTTTCTTTTTTCCTTTTCCCGACCAACTTTTTGATACGAATATAAGAGGCTCCACCCTTACTTTCAAAAAGTTGTCAATAATACCTTAGTTTTGATGATACGCCAAGGGTGGAAATCGAAAAGATCGATTGCAATTAGACTTTTTGAAAAAAGAAAAAAAAAATTTCTCGAACTGAAAAACTACAATCTAATCTTATTCTGAAAATTGAAAATCGAAATTTCAAAAATTATATTTGAAAAAAATGTTCCGTAATTAGGAGTTTTGAAGATGTTATACTGCAGCTTGGATATCGAGAGATTAACGGAGCTGCGGATGCACTTGCTAAGATAGGCATTATATTGAAAACTAATGAAACTAGATATTTTGAATCATGTCCTCCATTTTTGAACAACATTCTGACTGGCAACATAACTGAATCTTATCCTCGCAAATGTGTTTATCCTTGTATTAGAAATGTTATATTGAAGTAATAATATTTTGTTGTTTTTATGTTAAAAAAAAAATTGAGTCTCGAAGAACTTGGTCGTTGTTCAACAAGGACTCGACTTCTTCTGTTTTCGATAAGGTCTATGAGATGCTAAGTGCATGTATTATTATGTGTAGATCAATGGTTCAAGATCACCCGACGTATTTACGAAACGTACTAGATTGATATTATATTATGCTTTGTCGTGGTTTGGGAGAAATATTTCGTAATAACTCTTGATTATTAATATCGGGTGGATTTGAACTGTAGATTGATTAAATAACTACCCACTAAACACAAATACACATAATTGTATGCGTGATTTTGTGTAGATTTACGTTTCAAATCCACCCAATGAAAATAACAAAGTGTAACATTTAATTTACCATGGTGGATATTCTCAAAGCATATTCCATTGCTAAAACAGGGATTAAAGTTCAAATTGCTCAGATTCCAGGGGGGTGAAAAGTCAAAAGCTACCCAATTAGGAATTAGGGCCTCAACTGAATAGCTAGTGACTTTCTTGGGGTGCATTTCATACATGGCTAATAGCTTAGGGGTTAAAATGCAATTCACCCCAAAGTTGAATCCTCATGCGTGGGGTCCACACCAACCCTACTTCCGTTCTCACTGCCGTCACCGTCATCGTCGCCGTCAACTTCATCGTCTCCCTGGATATGATCGAGCACCAGAACCAGACCCATGGCGAACGCGCCGTCGAACCCCGGCTTCAGCGAGAGCACGAAGACGTCCTTTCCGAGCACGACGTTGTTGGCGGCGTCCACCTTGCGGCGGATCTCGGCCACGGCCTCTTTCTCGGCGTTGAAGATGGTGCAGTTCCGGCAGGCGAAGGAGCCTTCGATCTGGTACTCCTCGCTCGGATGGTTGTACACCTCCACCGTCATGCTCGACCGTCCGATTATCGACGATCTCCGCACGCTGAAGATCGGCTTCTTCCCCTCCGTCCCCTCGCCGACGAAGCCTTCCCACCTCTGGTGCAGACTCGGCCTCTGATCCACAAAAAAAACATTAAATCGGTGAGTTGACTCAGCGAGTTGACTCGGCCACAAACAGTGAAGTGCAGATTCGAAAATATCAGTAAGATGCAGGTAGACAAATGGCAATCTCCTCTGGGGGAGAAAAAAATTGAAGAATTAAACACAAAATCTGATCGGATATACCTTGCGGCGGACGGTGAGGATGCACCTGCCGGAGGCGTCCATGAGAACGAGTTCGCCGGTGTCGCCGTACGAGTCGACTCGGAAGACGACTTCGCCGTTGGAATCGTAGGCGGCGAATCCATCGCCGGCGTAGAAGAGGGATGTTTTCATGACGGTGAGATGCGTTACCTCTTCACGCACATAACCTTCTTCCACAATCGCACCACACTTCATGATTTTGTTCGAGTTTCTTCGTTTAATTAGCTCTTGAATGCCACAGCAGAGAAGAAAAAAATTCCTTGAATTGTGCAGTTTTAGAGAAATGCTTCCAGAGGAGAGAGAGAGAGGAGAGGGGTAGAGAGAGAAAGAGAGAGTGAGAGGGAGAGATGCTATTTATTTACGGAGAATTTAAAAAGGAGGAATAAATTAAATATATTATGGAGGAGAATTAAAGATTTTGATTTATGGTAACGATGAATGAAATTGAAATCTAGATTGTACGTATGCAGCATGTGGACTGAAGGAGGGTATTACTGCCAGAAAAATTAAAAATGGGGGGCCGCGGCCTCTCATTTAGGAGAAAAAGATTGGAAAATTTATTATTTTTTTTAAACTTTATAATAATTTAAGTTCTAAACGATATTCGTGTGGATGCTATCGAATGTGGTTTAAACTTTAAATGACTCAATTTTCAGATTTATTTCAATTTTTATTTATTTTTTCCGTAGGCATTATATTGTCTGGTCGATCATAGCCTTATTAATAGGGGTGTGGTGCGCGGGTCGTAAAGCCGCATGTTTCAGCAAAATTCACAGGCATGGCTGGTTCGTGCCGGTTTCACAAGCATTAAAAAAAAATTGAATCCATCGGAAACTCAAACCTGCAAATCTTACCCATTTCAGGACTTATCGTCTGGTCCTAACAGGATGGTTTTCACGGATTCAACGGGTCGATGGGTCCGATTTGCTCATTCAAAATATGTAGAAATATGTGATTTAAACCTCACAATACTTTGTCCTAGTAATGTGTTATGTGTCCATCGTTGTCTCGAAAACGAAGAGAGCCAACGGAAAGATAGAGAGAGACAAGTCTATGCATAGTTATATTTGAATTCCTAAATCATATTTCTATATGAAGAAAAAAAAAATTAATTTGATTAGGACATAGCTTCAAAGTTCAAAGTCAATAGTTGCATTTTCCTTTTTTTATCAGCCACCCATTACTTGGAAATTAAGCTTATAACTAAAGTATTGAATTGTAGTTAATGTGCAGTTACATAATTAACGTTAATTCGTTTATTATATTAATATAATGATTATACTAAAAAAATAAAAAAAATAAAAAAAAAAATTAGGTCCTCAATTGAAATTTGTAGGGTCTTTTTTTTTCTGTTAAGGTGTCATGCATTTGTTAGCCGATCTTACCAAACAATATTACGATGTATGGTAAAAGGTCAGCTTTCCAACGTCCTACCAAAAAAATCTGGTGTGACAAGATTGTAATGATATTCTAGAGTATAAATCTTGGCCACGGTCATATTTTTCTAAGTTAAATCACTTGTCAAATGATGAACAAAATATATAATATATGTGTATGTAATTATCAAATAATATTGCAGGCATGCTTCTATTTCTTCAAGGAGCCTTGCCAATTGATGTGGCCTAGTTATATGGTTAATCCCGAGATCATGGAATGGAATGGGCCTAGAATAACAAAAGTCGAAGAAAGAAGCTCACGTAATCCCCGAAAGACCAGCAAAAATGAGTGACTGGAAAATGTTTTCGATAGTTAAGTCAGTCGAAATCGTGGAGAAACAGTGTGGACATATTAAAAAGTAACGTAACAAGAGTAAGGTCATGATACCCACACATGGGTGTGATGTGATAACTTCGAGTTGCTTATCTGCTCAAGGCGAGTTGTCCTATTCTTTGCGAGTTGAGTCAATTCAAACGAGGAGGGCTCACGGATATTATCACCTCCTTTTTAAATATCAAGTGAGCCTCTCCACCGTCTTTGTCTCTAGTCGAACCTCAAATGTGGTCACATTCATCGTCTGTCTATACCACGCGAGAAGGGGTTTTATCGAGTGTAAGTTGGCCCCTATAGAGTGAGTCTGGGCTGCATTTGGGCTTTCGGGACAATCCGGCCCATATCACCAATCAACGAAGAGAGAGAAAGAAATATCAAATATGCACTCATATGTACCCTCGCTAGCTAACATCCAAGATAAATTATGTTTCTGGTACTAGAAAATGACATAAAAAATTAATGTTTATAGTAGTATGATTTACAAATATATTAGGCATAACTGTACAAGATATTTGTCTATGTTTGTTTATATATATATAGTAATAAAATATTTAATAATGTATCTGCTACATTGTCCACGACACTCAATTGTCCTAAAATATGATTTTCTAATCTTGGATCATTATCACAGGATTGAATATTGATATTATATTTGGACTTCTTATCATTAACGTGTTCTATAGTATAGAAAGTTCGAAAGAAATTTAAATGTTACCCGCGTGAAAATAACGCGGGTGGTAGAAAAAAATAATATTTGTTCAACAATAATATCTTTCTGAAATTGAGATATTATGCCTTCTCTTTAGGCCACGAATAAGGCATCATTAGGTAAACTTAATTATTAAATCCTTTTGTCTTTACTTTCAAGGCTTGTGATTGGCTGTGCTGAAATCACTTCAAATAGGGGCCAATTAGGTCAAACTAAAGTTCATATCTAATTTCATTCGAATTAACTATAATTGATTTATCGATTTTAATAAAAGTTCGTTGCTTGTTCGTTTTACAAAAATACCTTCACATTTTAATTGACCAAAAGTCCAGCGCAACATTATGGGTTGGCCGTTGGGTATGGGTAGGTTTTATCGATCGACCGACCTATTTTCGACCGACTAGCCAATAATCGATAATTAAATGAGTTTCATGCAATACGCTACAACCCGAAAAATAGCTAAAAGTAGCAACTGCCAAAAATTCAAAACCTATCAAAAATAGAATAACACGGTGTCAACTGTCGATTAGTCGCGTCGGGTAAGTAACTGGCCGATAATTATCCTACCCGACCCATTCCCATCAATAAACGGGGATGTGTCCCTAGATCATCAATTTACTATCGAATTTTACTGTCAAAACTAAAAAATTCACCGTATTTTTTATAAATTTATTGTCAATTTCACGAGATTGGTGCAATTATATGAGTGATTCAGTAAATTTAATACGGAATTTAGCATTTCAGTTTGTTAAATTACTAAATATTGAGAAGTTCAATGCCGATTTTCATCCAAAAATAAAATGAAAGTAAGAGCCCAAAAGGTGGTTGGAACATTTGCAGCTGAACTGGGCCCGTACAGCAACTAAAGCCCAGCCCACAAGCCAACAGGCCCAGATCATATTCCAATTTGACACACCCATATTTTTATGCGCTTATTAAAAGAAAAAAAAAAAAACTCAAATTTACTTCTGAGATAATTATATTTTACTCCTTAATTCATAATTCAATTGACAAATCAGTCCCCGTAAAAAATTCCACACACTACTACACTCCCTATTGATCTCAAAACCAATATAAGATTGGTCATCGAACTCGAATGAGAAGAAGACTGAGGCGATGTTTGGAAGCGTTTTGGAACTTATTTTGATTTCATTTTGAGGAAATATGTTTTGGGGGAAGAATTTGAGAATGAAAGTAATGTTTGTTTATATTTTGTAAGGAGACAAAATACAGTGTAGCAGTCACATCATGTTTAAAAGTGTTAGAAAAAAGTATTTTAGAAGAAAAAAATTGAAAGATAAAGTGATATTTATTTGTTTTTTAGTGAAGACATTTTTTAACGTTGCAGTCAAATCATTTTATTGTAGCAGTCACATCATGTCTGAAGAAGAGGGAGAAACTTTTAAGATTGTTTTGGGGAATTAATGAAAACAAAATAAAATCACTACCAAACATTGCATGAGATTTACATTAAGTGCTTTTAGTTTACATCAAAAGTTGAATGCAGTTGAAAAGAACTTAATATAAGCTCTTTCTCCCAAAAGCTGAACCCCCCTAGTAATAACTTTTCTTGGAAGTGGGATTTGTTATCAGAATCAGAAGCTAAGCTCGCCGCTTAATTATTAATTGCCAACTGCCATGCAAGAAAACACACACTACACACATACTGCCAAACAAGACATTTCAAGAAAAGAAAAAAAGGAAGAAGGGAATATATATATTGGCATTGAATGCATGTGAAATTCTGTCATTGTCATCAAAACCAATCTTTTTCATTCACTTTTCTGCCATACATTCACTTCACACTTAGGCCTACATACATATATGTATATATAGCCTTTATTTAATTAGGGGTTGTTTGGCTGCTGCTGCTGCTGTTGTTGTTGATGGTGCTGCTGCTGCATTGGATATCTGACTGTAGCTGCTAGGATTCTCTGCTGCTCAATCTGAATTTATAACATTTTCACCAATTTATTACTATTCATAAATTAATTAATGAATATGTAGATAAGTTGGTATGTGTAGTTAATTTAATTTTGGGCCGGGGCAAATTAGTAATTACCTGGAAAAGTTCATGCAGCTTGTTCTTGAGATAACAGTACTCATATTCCAACAGCTCTAATGCTCTTATACACCTGTTTGTTTAATTATAAACATAAGCATAAAACTAATTAATTAAAAGTTTTAATTTTTAATTTCATGCTAATAATATTAAGTACTAATTTATTCTTTGTAATTAAGGAACTAGCAAACCTTTGATTTTTTTTTCTAATTACAAAAGCACAAAAAAGAGAGGGAAAAAAGGAACGAACCCGGGCCGGTTATTTTGATCGGAAGCGGCCCGAAAAGCTACGCAGACATTTCGGATCCTTTGGGCACCGATGCTGGAACTGCTCCCCATAAACTGATTCAAATGTGTCCCCATTTTCTTGTAGTCCGAAAACTCCTTATCCACCCTAATTTTAATTCATTACTTTACATTAATTCTAAATTAAATTAAATTAGTAAAATTTAAATAAAAATAATTTCCCCCTTTAACAGAAATCAAACCCACAAATTAAAAGTTCTTGAAGGGATAAAACCAAAAAAGATCAAAAAGGACCACAAAAAGCATCAAGAAAATTGAAGCGTGTGTTTTTTTCACGTACTATACAGTGTTTGTGTGTGTGTGTGTGTGTGTGTGTGTGTGTGTGTGTGTGCATGAGAGATTAAAAAAGAATATATATACATATACATATAAAAATATACTTACAACAATGCTCTGAGGTTTCTGAGAAGCTTTTCGGACTCGTGGAAATATATGTTGACAACCTCGGATACAAAATTGGGTGAGGATTCATCTTGCAATTGCTGCAGCTGTAAGAACTGTTCATCCAACACTCCCTATATATATATATATATTATATATATATATATATATATATATATAAATTAAACCACAATTTATAATTTATATATAAATTAAAAAAAAGAAAACTTGAATAATAATAAATAGAGAACCTGGTGGAAGAGTAACGCGAGCAACCGATTCATGTCAGCTCGGAGCCGCTCCACACTGAGTCCCAACATCCAAATCGGTAGACCCGTTTTGTCAATATTTCTTCTTCCACCCACAAATATTTAATAAAAATTCAAAATACCCCCCAAAAATAAAATAAAATTAAAAATTGAAAAACCCAAAACAGAAGAAGAAAAAGATTGAATTTTTAGTGGTGGGTCGTCATTTTCTTGGGTTTTTACTCAATGTAGGGGGATTTAAGGTATTTTTTCTAAATTGACAGCTATCAGAGCTGGGGTTTGAATTTTGTGAATGGGGGATGATCAATTTATAAGGTGGCGGGGGTGAATGGTTTCCGCCAATTGGAATGTGACACGTGTCCATGTACTTAGAATAGTACTACTACTGACTGCACAGAGGGGCACGTCTCATGATGGCTTCGTGCTTATGTTGTTTTGTTTTTTTCTCTATTTTTTTGGTTTTTGTCTTATGTTTAGCTTTCTTGCTTATTTATTATTATTTATAAATAAGTTTTATTTTCGTTGATTAAAAAAAATTAAGTCTCCAGTTAAATTACAGTAAAAATTGGGCCTTCATTAAGGTGTGAAAAGTTACTGACAAGAAGAGCAGTATATTCATGGTGAAAATCGAGGTGAATGTGGGGCATCTACCAGACCAAACTTTTTTTTTTTTACCGACATTTTTTTTACTGTCACTCTGTAAAGCTGTAATAAATAGTGCCTATTAATTTTTTAATTTTTTTTTTTTTGATTGATATAAATATTGAATAGTGCCTATGTCACTAATCAATCTGCAGCAGCTTCATGTATGCCTATATCTATAATCTATCAACCCATTTAGGGTTAGGGTAAAAAATATTTATTTAGGTTGCATGAATTTTTTAGGTAGATTTAACGATTAAATAAAATAAAAATTCCCATCAAATATGAAGCGTGCATGTATGTATACATTTAAGTATTTAAATTTAAGTGTTAAACGTGTCTCGGGTTTGAATCTCTTTGGCAACGATCGCACATAATTCGCCTAATGTGGTGTACGTCTTTTGTATGGTTTGCAAGATATTATACGAGAATGTAGATTTATTTAGTGCACCTATATATTTGTTGCGGTTTCCTTCATTATAAAAAAAAAATAAAAAATCTCAAGTATTATGCATATATTAATACTAAATAACAACCTTATTTATAGATTTAGTTGTTCTTTTAATTTCTATATATATATGATATATAATCTATGCATTTGTGGGATAATTTGACAAAACCCCCTCACCACACAAGTGCAATTAGAATGAGCCCAAATATATTTTATATTTTTAAGATAAATCCAAAACATCTTTTATTAATAAAAATTAATTAAGTATCACAATTATACCCTTAGCTTATTATAAGGTATTTTAGGGTTGAAAATAAATAAACGTAATATCTTTGTTCTTTTTTTTTTTTCTCCTCCATCGTCGTCGCGCCGCCAGAAAAGGTGCAGCTCCAACGTACAACCACCTCTTCTTCCGCTTCCCGCCGCCGCACCCCGCCGCACAAAGCCTCTCCGCGAATAAGAAAGCGAATAGTCCTCCCAAAAAATCATCAAAATCTCCCACCAAGGCATTCGTTCGGCGCATCAAATACATAAACTTTGTGAACCATAGGAAACTAAATCAATTGGCGAGCAAGAAGAAAATTCCCACTCGGCGGCGCATGAGGTGAAGAAGTCGTCGGGTCTTAAGAAGATTTTTGGGTACGGCGGCGGAAGAAAATCCGATGCTTCAGTTAACCATGGCGGCGGACTGCGGCTGCCGGATAGGGCGGCGAGTCTGAGCCAGATAAGGAGGATCGCGAGCGGCCGCGGCACGTATGCAAATTTTGATCGGACAACTGCATGAAATGCAGCGAAGGTGGGCCGGGGTTTCTATTCTGATGAAGAGAGGGGATACAGTGACGGAGAAGATGAAGTCATCATCATACCTTTCTCAGATTTTTCTATTCTTTTAAATGATTTGGGGAAAACGATAATTGAATTGTTGAATATTTTATTTTTAGGTATGTCTCGGTAATTATTTTCAAGTGAAGGATGGTGGTAAAGTTTCGGCTTTTGCCACTTCATTATGTAATTTATGCAATAATGTTATTGGTGTTGGCTGCGGTGAAGAAGTTGACATATTTTTCGGTATGGCGGCGTTTGCAATATCTCCGCCGCCGAGCAATTTAAGTTTCATATTACGAGTGCTTTTTATTGATGATTAGGACCCAACTACAAGAAGAAAAGTGACTCGTGTTGGTTGTGGATTGCGGATTCGTTCATGGACAGAAAATTGGTTAAATATGTATTATTCTAATTTTTATGGTGTTAAATATTTGTAACATGGAAAGCAACAGAATAAGATTGTCCAATCTCATGCCTTTACTTGGATTTCTAAAGGGGTTAGGTTCTTTCACATTGATATAACATTGATAAGTATACACAGTGGATTTTGAAAAGTATACAGAGTGGTTTTCATGTTTATATAGTTGTTTGTAAATAGTGGTTTTCATGTTTATATAGTGTTTATATAAATTGGTTTTCATGTTATATGTTATTTATAAAGAGTGGTTTTCATATTTATATTGTTGTTTATACATAGTGGTTTTCACATAGTGGATTATGTTAATGTAAAGTGGATTACGTTATTTTATAGTAATTTTACTATGGTTTTTGATAAATTTGTAGTAGTTTCCGATGAGTATATAGTGGATTTTAATTTTTGTAACCCGGGTGGAAAAAAAATTAAGTGGATTTCACTAATTTAATAGTGGTTTTTGATGAACATGTAGTGAATTACACTAATTTAACAATGGGTTACACTAATTTAATAGTGGGATTACATTAATATTAAGGTGGATTATGCTTATTTTATAGTAATTTTTACTTTATTTCCATAGTGGTTTTCGATAAATTTAATGGTTTTCGATTATTATGTAGTGAATTTTTTTATATAAAATATGAACGATTAAAAAACTGAAAAAAAAATGGTTTAAATTTTGAAATAAAAAAAACTTATTAAAAAAATAAAATATAAAAAAACTGGAAAAACACTAAAATTAAGTTTGCTGCGTGAGATAGGGAGAGAGAGAGAGAGAGAGAGAGAGAGAATATAGGGTGGGTGAGATAGTGGAGAGAAATAAGGGATTTGCATATTTAATTTTTTTTAATGATTTTCTATAATAATATAATATGGTAACTTTCATTAATAGTAAATAAGGGTATTTTGGATAATTTGAGTCAATTGGATTTATAACAAATATCAATTAAAAAAAAAAGATTTATTAAGAAGTCAAAATTGAATGGAGGGGTTTTGGCAAATAGCCCCTTGTTAATAATAGTTAGTAGCAAAGCAAAAAGAAAAAAAATATCAATTTTCATGTTTTATTAATAATTTAACCGTTGAAAATTAAACTTTATACATCTTTAATTTTCATTCAAAATTACTATATTAGAGGTTGAATTAGGCTATGTATTCATTATTATTTTTTTTTCAATCAATAAATTAAGCTATAAATTCATTTAATTAATTTGAACATTTATAATGAAAATTAGTTTCCCGACGAAAATGAATGCTATTTAATTTGTGATCGAACAATTTTTTCTTCAAGAAATATTATATTTAAAAAAACTAAATTGTTTTTTTTTTGTTCCTAAAAAGAAATTAATTAGCTGAATAAAATGAAATGAATGAAGGTTCGGCGTGCAGTTCTCCAACCCGACAACTGTGCCTGAATTATTTTCAGAACCTCAATTTTTTTTTTACCTTTCTTTCTTACATTTTATTATTATTAGTTATTACCATTAAATTTGCATTTTATAAAGAATAAATAATTAAATAAAATTAATAAATAAAATTTGATAAAGAGGATGATGGGACTGTTCATAAGGTTCGCATGGGCATTCGGCATGGTATATATAATTAATTAATTTCTCAAAGCTGACTCATTCAACATCACCACTTTTCTATTTATTTTTATACTGATTCAAATTTAAGATAATTAATATTATATATATAGAAATTATTATTTATTTAAAAAAAAGAAAAATTAAAAAAAGAAAAACACACGCATGGGTTTTACGTATTCACTTTTTATGGTTTTCTTATCCAACAAATAAATAAATTGCAGTAAGTATGTAAAAAACTTTTGTTAATTAGTATATAGATTAGGTAATTAATAACCACCTCGATTACCTCACTTGGGCGTGCTTTCACCCTCACTTAATTAAAAAAAAAAAAATTAAAAAAAAAATCAAATTTCTATATTTTCTACATATAATTTTTTTTTTATTAATTCAGTTATAAGTATTAACTCATTGTTTTTTTTAGTATTGTTTTTATTAATTCATTATCACATCATTAAATGAATAATATTATTTCAATCTTTTTAATGTATTTTTTTCTGAAATCAATATGCATTTATCGACATCCTTAATACTTGTACGAAAATAAAAACACAACAGTGAATTAAGAACGAAAGGAGTGATAAAAGTTAGAATCATAATTAGAAAATGACAAATAATTTGATTTTTTTTTTCTAAATCCACAAATATTTTGGCACAAATGAATTAATAATTATTATAATTAACATACATAGAATTCATAAATAGGAATCATCATGCTTCTTTTATGCTCTCTTTCTTATATACTCTAGGTGTTACATATTCAAACTTAAAAAACATTTTTATAATAGTAACAACATACTCAAGTTTAGCTTTTAGCTTGGAAATTCCAAATGTTGGGCTTATTGTTTTCAACTTTTTTCTTGTAATCCACTCCTCCTAATTAACTAATCAATAATCTAATAATTCGTGTGCCATCAAAAAGCTATAATTATAGTAGTTTGGTGCTTATTAGTGGAATGGACCCGTTGCTCGAGATAAATAATTGTCCAATTTTCCATTGTTTTTTTGGGTTTTCAAGAAAATCAAATTTATGACATCACTCTTATGTCATACATGTAACATATGTTGAATAGTTATACATTTAACATATCCTTATTATTTGATGTTTTAATTTCTATTGAGTAAATACCACTCCCTTTAATAATAATTTTATTCTATATTATCTATCACTTCAGATTTTCAATAATGCATTAAATTTTTTTTTTCATAGCAACGACATTATTTAAGGATTATATTTAATACCAAATTTTAATAGGAAAAACTAATGTAAAGAACCAAAATTATATTACTATGTGTGGTCGTGGAAATAAAAGTCTCCTACATTTTATGAAAATATAGTTAGATATATTTCACTAACGCATTTAAAACCACTGATGCTCCTTGGCCTCGGTGGTTCGTGATTGTCATACTTTCCATAGAGGTCAAGGGTTCAAGCATCGGTATCCAGAAATGTGTGGGAGAGAGAGAGAACAATATTCAACGTACAGCGATACAGGTATTCTAAAATACCTTTTTTTTCTTTTCTTTCTTTTTTTTTTTTTTGAAATATGCAATTTACACAATGTCAATTAATAAATAGAAAAACTTTATTGCACCAAACTATTTTTCAATTTTTCTCCATTTTTTTCTTTTGGGCAGTGGTGGGCAATTTAACATCGGTGGCCAATCCAACGGCTAGGAGAAGCCTAATTACATACCAAGTAAAATCAATTTGCCACCACTCTAATCCATGCCTAGCCGAGTATTCAAATGCATGGTGGTTATTATGCCAACCCTCTCCAAATGCAAGCATTGCCACCCACCTAATTTAAATTATATATTCATCAATTTTTGTCACAATAATATTAATAATAATAAAAATGTATATTCATCAATTTATTTTATTTTTGTGTTTTTTCGTAAATAACGGAAGAATGTATACCAATTATTTCGAGAAAGATCACCGGTGTTCCACGCTTGTTTTCCCCAAACATGGCAAGCTGAATTCACTAGCCAAGTGATATGGTACACCCAAACTATTCTTACACCCTGCATTTTAAGTAAATATGACATCATTATTAGTAAGATTGACGTCACTGGATATAACCAAGTTGAGCAATTTATGAACTGAAATGTTAAATATCGTTTCAATTATACTAACACTATTTTGACTTCAAACATGATTTTGACCATTTTTTAGTATGGTTTTGGCAAAATTCAAAATAGGAAAATTGTAGTTATTTGAGCTAGCTTTCTAATTCAACTTCAATCAGCTAGATTGGATGTCGTTTGACAAAGTAACGCACGAATGAGTTACACTTTGAAATTTAGACAACTCAAAACATCAAAGTTGTGGGCGATGTTCATTGTTTCATTCATATCATTCTCACCCGACATCCAGTTTCAGTGATTTAAGTTGGATTAGAAAACTAATTCAAAAAATTATAGATTCCATGTTTAGAATTTTTGCCAAATTCAACCTCGAAAACGGTCAAAATCATCAAATCCCATTTCACAAATAAAACATGCATGTAAAGAGATAGGCATTGTATTTCACAAATTAGACGTAAATTTTCTTCTTATTTATAGCGTTACGTATTTGTTAACATCCCTATCGAAAAAGAAAAGTTTCATTGAAGCACTAAAATAAAATCCTAAATTTGATTAGTGTTTGAAGTCCATAATTTAAGTGAATTAGTTCCCATAAACACAAGTAATTAAGCAGGATTTGACACTTACCATTCCCCAAACAATGTAAGGAAAACCCCCCAATGCATAGAGTAGAGCACCAAGTGCAATAGGATGGAAAACATAAGTTGTTTGTAGAAACTTATAAAACGGTTGCTTCTCCAAATCTCCAACATTGCTACTTTCCCCACACTACAAAAAAATTTATTATATGGCAATAAATAACTATTATATATCTCTTGTAAAGGCCAAGTAAAAATAAAAATAAAAATAAAATTGCAAAACTACCTAATTGGACTTCAATATCTTTTGGAAGAAAAGAAAATTTCAAATCTCTTATTTAAAGACATGATTTGATTGATACAATAATTAGTATTTTCGCCTAAAATACAAATAAACGGCTATACTAGGGTGAAAATCGAACATACCGGATCGAAAATATCACTTTCAGAAGAAAAAAAACCATTCCAATTCCATCCCATAAAAATTGGAAATTGAAATTAAAAAATAAAATTGTTCCAAAATTGGAAATTTTCGGGTCGGATTAGCAGAATTCAAAAATTTCATTGTATTAATTAGTCATTTACAATATAAAATACATAAAATATAATAGTGATTTTACAAGTGTAATTTGCGAAAGGAAAAAAAAAAGAAAATTATAGAAATAATTCCAAAAAATTAAAATCGGATCAGAAATCATCGAAATCTAATACGTATTTTACGGTTTTACCCTTTGAGCAATAGCTTTGGTATCGAAAAGCCAACTCATATGACTAAACCAAAAGCCTTCAATGGGGCTGTGTGGGTCTTTTTCCGAGTCACAAAATTGATGGTGGTACCTATGTGTGCTCACCCAATCTATTGGATTTCCCTGTAATTAATCATAATTTTAAATTCATCAAATTAATTAAAAACAAAAATAAATCAAGAAATATATAAATATTATATTAAAAAGGGAATAATAATTCGAAAAATACCTGAAGGGCTTGAACACCACAGTATGCGAAGAAATACTCGAGCCATTTGGGAAGCTTGAAACTTCTGTGAGAAAGATTTCTATGGAAGGAGAGCGTGATTCCGAAAAGCCCGGTCATTACGTACAATCCCAAAGCTACACTAACGGCGTTACGATTGAACGTTAACGGAGCCCAAAAACAGAGCAAATGCATAACTACCACCACCCCGAGTGTGGCGATATCTAATGAATTCCATTCTCTGCCCCTATATATATTCCTCCTCCGCCTCACCGCCACGTCGGAGAGCCAGATTCCGCCGGACCGAGAATCTTTCTCGTTTTCCGGCGGTGGGTTTGCTCCTAGACTCGCAATTGGCGCCGCCGCCGCCGCCGCCCTTTTCGTATTCGACAATTTGCTTTTGGGAAAGAAATCATTTTTTAGGGTTTTGTTCTGTGTGAATTTGGGGGAATTGGGTGTGAATTGGAAGGGTTTGGCCTTGGACGGCGGCGGCGCCGCCACTAAGAGGGCGGCGGCGGCCATTTTCGTGGCTTGTGTATTATTTTCTGGGTTTTCTTATATTGTTGAGAATTCATGGTGTGTACTGTGTAGGATTCTTGATAGCTGACGTGGCAAATGGAGTTGATAAGGCGGTTGGGGAGTTTCATAGGGTTGGATTTTAGATTTTAGATAGTGATGGGGTGCATCAAGAATATTTTTTTAATTAAATATAATTTGTGGAAGATATTCAATTTTCTACACATTTGTCATCTTCTGTTGATGTGAGAGAGATTTTTTTTTTTTTTTTTTATTTAATTTGGAATTCAAAGTTTTGTTTATGTGGTTGCATTTATATGCTATCTTTCTTCTATATCTGAAAAACTCTCTGTAGCTATTTTGTTCTTCAACAATGGCTGCAACAGCTACTACTACAAGTGCTTCCATTTTCAATTCTTCTAAGCAAATCACACCTCTTTCTACCAGAATTACAGGTATATACATAAAAAGAATTTTCGGTTATTCGTTCGACTAGGTTGTTGTCGACTTGTCGTAGTTTTTTTGATACTAGATTGTTTGTTATGAACTTGGTTATAAGTTGAGAACGATCGGCTTAAATCGTGATGGATTTTGTCTATATGTATGTAAGCAATAAACCCCGTTTGTGGTATCGTTTTCTTGATATTCCGTTACGATGATCGTTTTCTTGAAATTATATACGCAAAAAAGTTGTACTCTTTTCTGATTGAAATTCCATTATGATATGCCCAACTGCAGCTAGTAGTTTCTTGGGTGCTCGATTTTCGTGCAATTATCCGACTAAGAGAAACTTAACTAAAATCAGTCGAAAATTCAGTGTTTCTGCTGCTTCTTCAGTCGCGGTCGCAGCGCCTCCATCAGAGGAAATTAAAGAGTATCTCTTCGAACATTTTGCTACGATTTTTTTATATTTTTTCACCGAAATAAATTATTTCGAAGTTTTTAGTACGTTTTTCGGTTCCGTTTGTCAGATACGTGCTTCCTACATGGGCTGAATTCGACATTGGAAGAGCTCCAGTGTACTGGAAAACTATGAATGGTCTTCCTCCTAGTGCTGTATGTTAAAACCATTTTCTCATAATTTGTTACGGTTTATTGCAATTAGTACCCCTATGTTGTATCGAATTGCTAAAAAACCACCCCATGTTATTTTTTTTATAGCAAAAACCCCCCTACGATTCAATTTTTTTAGCACGCACCCCCCTAAACAGGGGTACTAATTGCTAAAAAAACATAAATCATAGAGGGGTTTTTGTTAATAAAATAACATAGGATTGTTTTATATACATTCGATTTTTTACGATACGAAACATATATATGACAGGGAGAAAGATTGAAGTTATTCTATAATCCAACTGCAAACAAGCTTGTTCCTAATCAAGAATTCGGAATTGCTTTTAATGGTACTTTCTCTCACATGCAATATTCTAAAAATTCGATTTTATTTTTATTTTTGTTTTATTTTTTATTATTGATTTATACATTTTGCAGGAGGTTTTAATCAGCCAATCATGTGTGGTGGTGAGCCGAGAGTGATGCTCCAGAAAGTTAGAGGAAAAGCTGATCTTCCTATTTACACGATTCAAATATGTATCCCAAAGCATGGTATATATCGTATAAAAAAAACCGAATTTATCTTGATTTTTTTTTTATCATTTATAGAAATTTAACTTAATTTCTTGTGACTTTTATCGAGTTTGCAGCGTTGAGTTTGATATTCTCGTTTACAAATGGAACTGATTGGGATGGTCCCTATAGACTTCAGTTTCAAGTCCCGAAAGCTTGGAGAAATAGACCAACCGAATTTTTCACCGAGGTAACGGAATCTTCCGGAATGTGATCTTATATATGTATGCCGGATTAGTGGGTGGAAATTAGAACGGGTTTTTCAAATTCCACCGTTTCCGATTAGAATATTTTTCGATCTTGGAACAATATTTTTCATTCCGAATTCTAAAAGTTCCGAATTCTAAAAGTTCCGATTTCCGAATGTTTTCGGAACGGAATTGGAGTACATGTTAGATTCCGACTTCATGACCGATTTTTGTTTCCAAAAATTCCGATTTTTTTTTAATCGAATATTACACTTTTAATATCAATATCATTATGTATTTTATATTATACATGACTAAAAATGAAAATTCTGAATTCTGCCGATTTGATCCGAAAATTTGTGTTTTTGGAACAAGTTTTTTTTAATTCCTATTTCCGAAAATCCCAATTTTTTAACGAAATTGGAATTAGTTTTTCACTTACGGAAAAAATTGGAATTTGCCAAAAGTGCTAATTTCGGTCTGATCCCTTAGCTCAAGTTTATATATATATATATGCTCAAATAATCTGTTTATGCATTTTGAAGGGTCTTGCGGAGGAATTGAGTAAAGAAGGTGCATGCGACGAAGCCATATTTCCAGACTCGACCGTTGTTGGCACAACATGTGCCATGATTGGCAACTTAACACTCGAAGGAGTGAGTCGATTTTTTTTTTCTTCCGTGAAAATGAATGTGAGGGATTTTTTATTTATTTATTATTATTTTATGTTTTTGGTGATGCAGGGCGATCGGTGCAATCTTGACATAGTAACTGGATGTACGGATCCAGGCTCAGAAATGTTCGATCCACTTGCCACAGTGGATGATGGCTCTTGCCCTCCTTACTCCGATTCCGATTAGCATCATATTTATAGTTCGGGATTTGGAAATTCCTATATTTATAAGATTAAGTACTCTTGTATACTACAATCGGGCTCGTGTATATAACGCTTCGGTAGCCACATACTCGAATTTTCTTGAAAATATGTTGTTGATGAAAATAAAATAAATTGGATTACATATTGTTTGTTCCATATCCATTTGGATTAATCTTGGAGAGTGGATATCTAGATATATGATGACTTCTTGAGCTAAGCCTAAATAGCTAATTACTTACATTAATTGCTTTTGATTCTTACTTACACTAATCCTTGACTTAACGACATGTAATTAGTGTTGTAGGAGTAGTAGGTTGTATTTTTTGTATTGGTTTCAATATTTTTTTAGGGTAAAATTACACCTACACCTCTAAAGTATGATAAAATAACTTTAAGGTCCTTGTGGTACTGATAATTACAGCCACACCCCTGAAACATCTACCGGAGCCAAGATTTCATGTCTTGAGGATTGAAATGCACTATATTTGTTTTCCGCGAGGCCGTTAATGCTGCCATAGATGAAAATTTATAAATCTTATATACAATAATAATGATTTAAGAAATATTAGGAGAGTCATGTTACCTCTAACTCTATGTCGTCTCCATCATTGGCTGAAACTAATAGTCCGTTAGAACCTTAACATAATAACTTATCCAATACATTATTCCGTTAGGGTTTCTAACAATGTTTCAGGGATGATTGTAATTACCAGTAATATAGGGACCTTAAAGCTATTTTAGCATACCTCAGGGGCCTAGGTGTAATTTACCCTATTTTTTAATAATTGTGGGGTTGATGGTATTTATTTCTTTAGATAAGTCTTTTCGTCTATAAGATCAAAGTGACCACACAATTTTGCCATTTAAAATTCACACGTACCTATCCCTCGATGAAATTAAATATGTGGTCCAAGATTAAATTTATTTGACGAAATAAAATAAATAAATAAATCGAATTTATAATAGAATATTGTATTTGAACTCGAAAGGCATGGACCAACCACCCTAATTTTGAAAGGACAAAAAAACCCCTTGCCTGGTCATTAATGTGCTCGGTTTAAGGCACACTTTTGTGCCTATAATTGTTGCTAACCTCTCGTGTGTACGAGTTTCGTGACTCAATTCTATGTTGCACCGAGTTATTTACACTGGGTATTTATTAATTGTAGACGACCTTAAATAACCACCTAATAAGCATACATACAGGTATGTGTAATTATTTGCAGATCTACAGTTAACAATCATTCGGTGTAGCATAGAATTTACACATTTTAATCTAACCATGGGATGTTACAAGATTACCGATTGAGTTAGTAAGAGGTTAAACATATGTTACACCAGATGAAATGTACAACATGTGAAAGATCGACCATACGAGATGGAGCAAGAAATCGGAACATACATTGCAATACACGGTACGAGGCATAAACAATAAATTTAAAAATAAAAAAAAAAAGAACAAAAAAAATCACAATTGTATCTTAGTACATGGCCAAAATCTTTAAACACTCCTTAAGGCATCACATTCCCACCTTGTACAAACACACAATCATATGAATTTCCATCAAAAAGCCCACTTGTACGAGACTCCGTCAATAGTAATTAGAAAAATCTACAATACGCACCACCACTTGTGGCGGCACTACTACTACGTGCACAACGTTTTCTTGGTGTCCACGTACTTTCCGGCGAGTGAATCGAACAACATTCCGGCACCAACCCCAACGGCCAAATCGATCGTGTAATGACCTCTAGTGGTTAGAAGCCTAATCGCTTGCAACACATTCAAGAAATCGAATGTGTATGCCAATCCCCATCTCTGCATCCTCTTCATATCCAACGAGGCAATAACCGAGGCAGCTACATGCCCCGAATAAAAAAGAAAAAACGAGACATTCCCCACCGGAAAATCCGCTCCCGACCCCAAAAATTCCTGTCAAATTAAATCCACACAATATTTCACCACTTAATTAAATGGCTACATTTGTTTAATTATCAAGCCTGATTTAGTTTCCACTTCTTTGTTTTTTAATATTAATGATAATAAAATAATTAAAGTGTGTGGCAATTTAAAGTGAGATGAGAGATCTAACTGTACTAAACCAATTCGATTTTGTCCTAGACAATTTTAATGTAATTTTGGACATGGTCCCATGCTATGATATGATATAATGACTCCATGTATGTCACATGTGCATGATGATGTGTATGAGCCATATATATATATATATAATTATATATATACACACACACATATAAATACATATAGCTGTACTACAACTGCTGAACCAACTACTTTATTCATCATGTGGAGCTAGTTACTCTCACAAGTCACATGACTTTGAAATTCTAAAATAAATGGTGAGTGAGTTTTTAGCATTAGAATAATATGTTTCTCTCTCTAAAACATATCCACACAATATATACTACTTTTATATATACTACATCCACTGACATACGCATACACCGCGTAGTTTTACATCATATATCTACACACAGTTACGCACATATACGCAAGCGGGTGTGCGTAAAGATGGGTAGTTGACAATACACGTGTACGGTAAAATTACACTCGATGAAGTTACCGAGATGTGTATATGTTCGAGTAAATCTAGAGAGAGAGAGAGAGAAAGAAACGAGAACCTGAGGTAAGGGGAGTTGTGTGGCATATCCAAGAATTCCTCGACATGTGAACATAAACAATGCCGAAATGGTAGCTCTCGGCCGACCCTCGATCACCCACGTCCATATTATATAAGTCGTTTGCATCCCCACATATACCTATATCCATATATACACTTCAATTTTTGGATTCCCACTAATTAATCCACTTTAATTCAATGCTCAAACTCCCATATGATAAAATGACCTTTCATTTAGAACAAAATAAAACAAGTATATTTCTCCATTAAACAAGAATTTTAAATCGACAAGGCATTGCAATTATTTTAAAGGGCAAATTACAGCCACCCCCGAGATAAGTTCAAATTACGAAAAAACCCTTGTTTGGTTAATTATAATTACAGACACTCCCTTCAACTATGTATTTTCTTATGAAAAAACCCAAAACCCCTCATTTTGTAAGTAAATTTGACACCGTAGCTACCCAAACAGGAGGGGGTTTTCGTAATTTACCATATTTTAAACTACCGATTGGTGGAAGGACGAAAAAAATACATTCCCTAGCCTTATAGAGCATTCGACAATTATATTCAACAGCACACACAAGCGCCAATAATCTTCGATATACTATAGCTAGGAGAATTAGTCCCAATTATTTAATTGCTAGAAAATTTAATAATTGCACATAGTACGTAATCAAAATTGAAAAATTGTTCACACACACACAAAAAGTCAACATCAAACTTGACCGACAAAACAACTTTGCATGTGCGCGCATTCATGTATGCATACATACATACATACATACCGTGTTAAGGCCGGCGAGAAGGGTGTTGAGAGCAGGTCTGGCGGCGAGCAGCCGGTGGAGATTGGTGGTGGCGACGAAACCCAGATCGAACGGCTGAGCCGACGATGGGATCATGCTGAGAGTGTACTCAACGGCCATGAAAAACAGGAGCGACGCCGCGAATACGCAGGGTACCGGGTGGTGGAGGGGCAAACCCAGTACATCCGCCGCCGTCCATTTCAGGAAATGGGCGTTGCGTACGCCGCCGCAGCAAATGTTGCCGCCGTTGGCGGAGGGGACCGAAGATCTTTTCTTGATCATGTCGGGGGAATCCGGGCGGTGCGGGATTGCGCCGTTGGAGAAGTGGCCGTTTGTGGGTGGTGGCGAACGGAGGCGGGTGGTGGTTCCGTTCATCGGCGGTGGTGAAAGTTTTTTAGAGTTGTCGGGTTGAGTGCACGAGGAAAAGTGGTATCGGGTGAATATATATATATATATATATATATTTATATTTATTTTGGGTAAATTACACCCACACCCTTGAGGTAAGCTTAAATAACTTTAAGGTCTCTGTGGTATCGATAATTACAATCGCCCTCCTGAAATATAGTTAGAAACTCTAATGGGATAATGCATTGGATACGTTATTCCAATAGAGGTTCTAACAGACTATTATTTTCAGGAAGTGGTGGAGACAACAAAGAGCTATGGGTGATTTAAGAAATGTTGGGGGAGCCATGTCACCCCCTAACTCTACGTTGTCTCCACCACTAGCTAAAATTAATAGCCCGTCAGAACTCTACCGCACTAACGTTTCCAATCATTAACCCATTAGAGTTTTTAACTATGTTTCAGGGGGTGAGTGTAATTATCGATACTATAGGGACCTTAAAGTTATTTAATCTTATCGCAGGGTTGTGGGTATAATTTACCCTATTTATTTATTATTATTTTTTTTTTTTTGTGACGGAGTGTTCGAGGAGGAAAAAAGGGTTAAGTGGTGGAGAGAGAGAGAGAGAGAGATTTGAATTAGTAATACGTCAAAGATATTGCTAATTAATTATGATTTGGAGAGTTGAAAATAGTTTGGCACCCCTAAATTATTTAATACGCCCATCAAATAACCCCTTAAAACTATTAAAATTCATCAAGCAGGGCTTGAATTACTTTCTATTTATTTTTTCAAAAGAGAATTAATTGTACTTGTAACTCCCGAATCACACGGGCATTGATTTTATTGTGTGACGACTTTACTGAGAAATAACAAAATCCCAATATTTTTATTTTTTCTCTCGTACAATATGTTATTTAATTTAAATTATAATTTTATAAACTTGTCGGTTTCATGACACTTGTGAAAACAGTTGCAGTTTAAATTAGGGGTGGTAGACGAGACGAGTGAGCGCGATGAACCAGCTCGGAAAAAGATCGAATGAGACGAGTGAGCGCGATGAACCAGCTCGGGAAAAGATCGAACTCAGACTCAAGTTTTTCGAGCTCTAGCCAGTTTCTAGTTGTTCGTGAGCTCACGAGCGCTATTTTTTTTTCTTTTTTTTTTTATTTTTTTTGTATATATTATTTTTTATTTTAATAATGCATAATAATATAAAATATTATAGAAATAAATAAAACTAAAATATAAATATTAAAAATCTTATTAATAAAAGTAAGGTTCTTCTGGTGAAACCCTGGGGTTTTTTTTCCCGCTCATTTTCGGGGTACAACTGTCATTTATTTAATAAATTATTTTATGGGGTTTATTTGGCTTATTAAATTCAATTATACTGGATTTTTTGTTGGGCCTTGATTATCAGCGTATTTTCCTCTCACTTCTTAAGATTACGCATCCTCTTCATTCCGTAATTGATCGGATTTAATTCGATCCCAAATAATACGGCCGTAGATTAACGAATTCTCCAAAATAGGGCTGAAAATCATATCTTTTTGAAAAAAAGTCTCTAAAAACCCTAGATATCATTTGTTGAATAGTATTTTTTTGAAAAGGCACAAGATTAGATGGTTGCTTCCACAAAAAAAAAAACTATATATCATTTGTTGAGCTTTATGTTGATCTCCATCCAAAAACCAACCATCTCCAACCGTATATGTTATGTGTTGTTCTGATAATTTATGCTTTTCTCTTTGTTGATATTCTTAACAGAGTTAAAAACGTCTACCTATTTTATTTAATTTGTTTTTTTGTTTTTGTTTAATCTCCATCTGCATAATCCGAGTTTTGTTCTTTTGTAGGGACTGCGGGGAATCCTTGGCCGTATTTTTTCAGGTTTTACCAGGGTACTTTTACGTATTATATATGGTAAGTTTTTATTTTATTAATTCTCAGTTTTTTTCAGTCATGGATTGCTTTTTGAAAAATAGTCGACATTTAAATTTTCGATGTTTTTTCCTTACAAGTTTCACAAACATGAAGCAACGTTATAGCATTATTGTTTTTTTGGGAAAAAAATCGATAATTTTATTAAGAATTACTATCGAGTCTCGCTGCATTTTCTCTCTCTGAAATATGTTCACATCTTTAAATTGTTCATTTTAAAATTTACATTTCTTTCTTCACAACAATGGCGCAGACATTTTTTAAGGAGGTGGAAATGGGGTAGTAGATAATTCATTAATGTTGGGTTTGATCTACTTCTTCCATTAGTGAGTTTTCGATGGATCTGTTGGAAAATGAATTCTCTTTTCGTTGTTTCTTTGATTTTTTCTGTTATATATATCCAAGAAATTTCGTATTATTTTCATTATGTGTGACCTGAATAATTAATGTAAGTTTTCCACTACTGAAACAAAATCTTTTCATATATTATGGGCATGAGCAGCACATTATACATTAACTTTCTCTAATGAATTTTTAGTGTGTGAGAAATGAATATTGTCTAACAAACGTAGATCAGTGTAGTATCTTATGTCGATGGAGGAATATAAAGAGTGGCATATAGTTTATCAATGTTGAAAGAATCAATCGGTCACAAGAAACTTGAAGTCGCTGAATGTGATTTATCAGGTTTTTTGGTCAAATTCTGTTTTGTGGATATAAATAAATATGCATCAATGCATGCCTCAACAAACTGTTCTTTATTGAAATGTTGGACATATATGTTAACTTATTAAGTATATTACACGTCTCAAGAAACAAAGGTTGTGGTACAAGATGAATGTAGTGGTTTCTATTGGTTTTATTTGTAGTGGAGAATGTATCAATGAAAGATAATAGAATAAAAGCCTCTGTTATTTACATTACTACGTGATTCTTTGTTTTATTTTATTTTATTTAATTTTATTTTCTATTTGTTTTATGTTCGAGTGATTTTTACGTTTTAATTTGAAAGTAGAAAACAACATTGAAAATTGAATTTTTATTCTGCATTAATTTTTCAAACCCCGTGCATCGCACGGGTCAGATTACTAGTACATACAATTACAATATATCGTTTATTTTTTATTTTTTAAAATAATTTTGAATAATAATAAGATAATAATAATTAATAAATATTGAAAGACAAAACAACAAAATAAGCCTGGACTCGATCTCGAGCTCCACAAAACAGACTCGAGCTCGAGCCTCGAGCCTGCCAAAAGAGACGAACTTGGTCGTTCACACCCCTAGTTTGAATTAGACATTATATCTAAGATCAATATCTAAAATCATCAAAAAATTATTCTTATGAGTAAACCGATCGCGCCCAGCAACAACGAACTGACGCAGATTGCCGGTACTCTTGCACGTCAATTCTACTACATAAAAGCACCCAAAATATATACACTGCACATATTATACATACAAAAAAAGAAGGGAGAATTCGAAACAAGTTCCGCATCAAACGCAATACAAAAAGCCCGATAAGAACTAATTACACGCATTAACTATCATACAGAGCTCCCTATGCGGGCTCGGAAATCATCCAAGCTCGTGTGGCCCGTATTATATCCGTCAACGAGATCAGCCCAGCAAGAAGGCCCGATTCATCGACGACCCAAACGCGGTGCACATGATTGCGAACAACCTTGTCCACTGCCTCCCCGAGAAGTGATCCGGGCCCACACGTAATAAGCTCCTTTGTAGAGTTTCTCAATCCGGATGCCTCGTGTAGTGGGATATCGGAGAGCCTATTGATGAAATCCATAACGTTCATTTGCAAGCACGATTTTAGAAGCGGCATCGGGCATCCTCTTAGATCCGTGGCCGAAAATGTACCCACGAGCCTCCTCTCTTTGCCCTATGACAGCAAGAGAGTACGAAATAGACACGAAAAAACATATACTGAAATGCAAAATGTGGTTTCAATTTAATTTACATGTACAGTTCTGACTTCAAATGTGATTTTCACCCTTTTGCAGAAACACAATGTTAGAAGTCCTTTGAGTTGAATTTTTAATTCAACTTGAATAAGCTAGATTGGATTGGATGTTGAATATTGAATGTGGGATGATAGAGTTGTGCATGAATGAATTACAATTCAAATCGAGAAAAAAAAACATAGAAATTTGCAGCCAATGTTCATTCATTCATGAATAAATTTCTCAACTGATCGACATCCAAATCCATCTGGTTCAAGTTGAATTGAATTAGAATACCAAACTCAATAGGAGTACTACAAATTTTGTGTCTTACGTTCTGCGACTGCAAAATGGTCAAAATCGCATTTAAAACCGAGATGGTACCCAAAAGAAAATCAAAACGACATTTAGCACCTCCCGATATATAGCGTACGTGAACATATGACACTGTAATTATATATAATCAAATCAAGCTTGCTATATGTATGATTGAAGCCAAGATTTCCAATGAGAATTCATAGAAGGAAACTAATGTCGGTCGAGTCTATATATATATATATATATATATATATATATATATATATATATATATATATATATATATATATATATATATAACATGAGTGACTTATTATACTTACATTTATAAGCTCTCCATGATTCTCCTCAATGTCGTCGGTGGATTCAATAATCGGGACCGCACTAAGCGAAGCGCCGTTCATGCACCGTATAGCATGGATCACTTTAGTTCTATCGGAAACTCCGAAGACATACTCGCTCACGGCTCCAAATTCTCTGATCGGACGGCCGAGAATACCTTTGAGCTCGTTCTCGTGCAACTTCAAGAACTTGAGGAGATCCATTTGAGTTACCATACGGTAACTCGACGCGGACTCGACGAGTTCGACCCCGGCTATGTTCTCCGTGTGCCCGTCCACGGGAACTAGGGCCCGGTGTATCCCTTTGCTAAATACTTCCATGCAATCTATTATGCTGCCATAATTGTACTTACTGATTAATTAGTGAGGGTTTTATTTACATACCCCCAGAACTTTTTAAATTAATAAATTCGGAACTAACAAAATTCTACTAATTTAGTAGAAATATTAAATTATCGAACTAATAATTTAATACATTTTTATCGAGTTGGACCGGAATAAAGTATTATTTAAGCGAGATTACTAATCTCTAATTTATCGTGATTCCACTGTATATCTATCTATATATCTATCTATATACCTATCTCAAATGGTACTATTACATATTTTAATTATTCAATTTTGTAAATGTTAAAAGAATATAAAATAAAAAGAATTAAAATGAGCAAATAAATCAAAATATAAAATCAAAAGGTACCCAGTATTAGAGTTGAGGGTCCACAAGCTGAGGCTCTCAAGACAATGCCCGATAATCGAGGACACCGGAACCTGCATTTTCCGGTCAAGATCGCCGCCGTCGTCCTCCGCCGGATCAGCCTGGTTTCCGGCGATATGAGCCAGCACATCCAACATGGTCAGCATCCCTATATAGTGCTTTCTGGCAGCCCCGGTCTGCTTGTCGGACTCCAATATCATGGAACCGCCGGCACCGATCCAGTGACCAGGAGGCGCCGCCACCGGCACCGCCACAACACGGTTGGCCAGGAGGGCGTTCATGGTGTCGGCGAGGGAGGCGGTGTACGGCACCTCCACCAATCTCTTCTTGTCTGTGATCAAGTCCTTCACTTTCCTGTCCCTCAATCTTTGGGTGGGCTGAGCGGCGGCGCCGCCGCTGATTCCGGTGGTTTTTGAAGCTTGCATGAGTGGGAGCTTTGGTTTGTGTGTTTGGAAAATGGAGATAAGGGAGATGAAATATTAATAATAATTAGTTGCCATGGATTTTGTGGGTACATGCAAGAAAAAAAGAGGTGGAAGAAAGGGATTGTCTCGTTTTTCGTACGTGTCGATATTTGAGACTGCATGATAGCTTAGTTTCCGCCACGTGTAAGTGTCTGCTTTTTTGGTCAAAATCTGAAACAAATACTCAACAACCTTTAGAAAATTTGTATTAACTTACCATCTCGAAATCAGTTGAGCTAGACGCATGCCCGGCAACAACCTTGAGAAAAACTAATATTATCTTACAATAGTGTCATATACGGTGTGGTATTATGAAATATGGAAAATTACTGAAATACCCTCCACCGTTGTTTTGAAATTGCATTGAGATATAAGTTTATTTCTTGGAAATAATTAGTGAAAACTTCCTCATTATATTTTTTTCGAAATTTTAGTTTCCTATGTTTTTTCGTGAAATTCAGGATTAACTATGTTGTTTGTGTAGTTGATTTTATTAGTCTATAGTTGATTAAAATATTAAAATTTACATTAGACTAAAAATTAATAAATAGACTATAAGAAAACATAGTTGAGTTTTAGTTGATTATAGTCGATTACGTAAACTGTCACATAATAATACTAAAATTTATGGCAGAAAACCTGCATGGCAGAAAAACTAGCGTGTACAGAACGGATGGAAGCGATGCGTTGGTCGTAGAGGAGGCAGTTGCAGATATAAAAGAGGAGGGTTGTTTTATTCCAACGGTGGAGATTTTCCGTGTTTATGTCCAGAAAGTGGTGTCTTGGCTGCGGTAGAGGTGTTTTGATGTCCAGATCTCCAACGGCGGTGGATGGTTTTGATGTGCGGTAGAGGTGTTTTGATGTCCAGATCTCCAACGGCGGTGGATGGTTTTGATGTGCAGATGGTGGCACCTCGACGTCAGTGGGGGTATTTGATGTTCAGACGGTAGTGCCTCGACGGTGGTTGTCCGTGAGGAGAAAGTAATTCAGATTTAGGGTGAAAAAGGAGCAAGTAGGATTTTTGTCTAATAAGGAAAATTAAAGGTACACCTCTCCCTATTAATAAAAAGGGGATTTTATATCAAGATGATTCAATACTTTCAAACATATTTAAAGGAAAAAATGGCAAACTGTTTTTTCTGGTATCATTAACCCAATTGTTCAATAACTAAGCATCAATTGTTCAATATACCATTTCTTCTGGTATACATGTAACTCAAATTAATAGGTAGAATAAAATAAAAGCAGAAACATAACTTAGGTAATAATAATCCCATAAATATATCATATCATTCGACAAGAAGACATACGGTTCCCGATATTTATAAGTTCCGTCTATCATACGAGAAAAATAAAACTATATTTTCCATTCAGTCTCTTTTTCTCCAAACTGGAAAAAAACAAAAAAAAAAAAAAAAAAAAAAACCACCCTTTCATCTAATTAAAGCACCACAACTCTGCAATTTCTTTTTTTACAAGCTACGAAGCCAACCTAAGATAAAACCCCAACCACTAATAGACGGAAACTTTTTTTCTCAGCGCTCTGTAAAGTTCCATGAGTGATATACTGTTGCTACCTTGAGGAATTATCCTGTGCAGCAGGAGCATGGCTCATGCTTGGACCAGTGCCGTTTTCTTGTGGAGGTACTGTTCCCCATTTTCCTTCAGCTTCCAACGGCTCCATCACGTGGACCCCACCATCTGTCAGCCCTAATGCAAACTGGTTCGCCTCCGTTGGGTGAGCAGTGATGACCAATGGATAGACCCTCGAGCTGTCAAATAATTTATCAAAGGGTACCATTATATACCGTGTGTGTTTTTTTTATTTATTGAAATGGAGATGTGATTTATTTGTTACCTTGGGTTAGAAGGCATATAGGATGTTGGACTGATTCGACACCTCAGCCTTAGCCCTGCAGAGATGAAGAGACACACACTGCCATCATCGAAGCTGGCGTAAATTGATTGGCTGTCGCACGAGTATGTAGCATCCGTAATTACAGAACTCGATTCCCGTGGAGCCCACTGCCATAAAACCAACTTCCGTTAGTTCGATGATATAGTTCTTGATATTAATATGAATTGATGATAATAGAATTTTTTCTTTTTTTTTTTTTTTGCATTTGGCACCCCTGTGTATTTATGCTAATTGTCAAAGAAATTCCTATATTATTTTTATTTAGGATGATAACCGAAAGTTAGAGGCAACTGTTCCTATCATACCTGCTTGATGCATTCAAGTTTGGAAGCTTCGTATATGGCTAACTGAGTCTCGTGAACAACGAGAAACTGAGTCTGATCCTGATGAAACTGAACTCGTGTCTGTGCAAGAGGATTCGATGAACGACCTGAAGGAATCTGCAGGAACTTATTTGCCTTCTTTTCCCATCCATCTAGACTCCAAACACATATCTGGAAAAAAACAGTATATTTATAAATACGGTTTACTAAAACTCAAAATCACGACAATCAAACAAGAGAATATACACCAACCTGAGCATCAGCTCCTGAAGATACAAGACAATTGAGAGCATTGGAAAACGCAAGGCCTGTTACTCTTTTCTGGTGACCTTTGAGCTTGGTTTTCACCTGTTGGAAAAAAATTAAAAATAAAAATTGATGAGAGACAGAGTACATATTTGAGATATTTACGAGTGATCAAGTTTCATTTTAGCGAAGAACCTCATCAACGCGGACGTTGTAGATTTGTACGGAGGAGTCCTCCATGCCAATAGCAATGACGTTATTGTCTTGAGGATGGAAAGCCAGAAATGTTGCAGCAGGTGGAGGGGGCATAAAAGTTGTCATTGTCTGAAAATAAAAGGAGTAACAATTACTCAGATAGGCGGTCAATATATGTTAAAGAAGTAACATTTTCAATCAAACCAGAATAATGCTAGAACCTTAAAAGTCATCATGTTGAATAGGGAAATTTTTCCTCCAGAAGCTGACATAACATAAGAGTCGTTCTTCGAAAGTGCGAAACAAGGAACAGCTTCTTCAAGGTTTGTCTCGCTTATGTCATTGGTCATTAAGATCCCACTAGAAGGTTGCCAAAGTTGTGGCGGCACAGCAGCGGTTGCCTACAAATTAGGAAGAATTCGAGAATAATGTTAAACCAAAAGGGAAGGGAAAATCAATTGAAAACTAGACCTCAAATAGAGAAGTTAAAACCTTTCCAGTAACATTCCTCTCACTACGTTGCCATTTCCAAAGTTTGTGGACAGCATTATATGCTAATGCCAAGATGGAGCTTCCGGAATTTGTGTAAATTAACCGAATAATCTGAAACGTAAAGATATAAACTAAGCATTAGAAATAATCATTACCTATAAATTGAAAGAAAATAGAGTCATATACTGAACTAAACCTAACGTTCGCCACAGATGGAAAAATAGACAGCGTAATAGTTGACTGTCAGCTAAAACACAAAATATAGAAACAAGTATAACTACTTTCATTATTATTCGTAATTAACTTGCTTTTGTAGAATATCTAAACAGCCTCAGTTGCTACATGATTTTGATAATACACCAAAAGATAGGTCCTTACTATTGTCTTCCTGCTTCACAGTGCCATGCATAAAAGATAACTAAAATAGTCCGATTGTCACTTATTCATTAATATGTTGGCTCAAGCTTAAATTGTCTTACTATAAATGGCCAAGGGTCAGAGCATTCAGCCATCTTAAAGATACTGTAAGATTTTCAACCAGTATTTATTATTTAAAATCAGTAACTAATTCATTTATAAATACTCCAATTCTTTTTTTCCAACCTCTCTTAACAAGGAAGGGTGTCAAATAGCTTTTATCAAAAACCAAGAAAAAGGCTGATACACACATATAGAGAGAATTAAAAAAAAAAAAAGACATATAGAGAAAGCATGATATTTAGAAGAGTTTACCCTCACTGACAGCAGACTATCAGGAAGCCTCAAGGAGCGAAGTTGAGATTGTTCACTAATTTCAGTAAGCTTCCAAATCTTCGATTTCTCCATCTCCTCAGAAATTCTGGATTTTACATCTGGCAAGTTCCTGGAATCCCCATTCTGTTACAAAGCAAGTACAGTTAGGACTTCTATCCCATATACAGTTCAAACTCCAATGCAAGATGCAGAGATGACAATTTTATAAAGAAACCATATATCCTCAAATAAACCAGATAGAAGAATGATACTCACCAATGAAATCATAGCACCCATGGGTGAATTTCTATCTGTGCCGACGCTAGGTCCCGCTGCTGAACCAGAAGCACCAAATGTGCCAATAATAGGTGCCTGCGGGAAAAAAAATGGACGGAATTAAAACAACATCCTAAACTGCACTTGGAAGAACTCAATATTTTTACCTTTGAAGAAGCTCCAGCACGATTTTCCATGGAGCGCATCTGTCTAATACCTTCAGTATTTGCAAGTATTTTAACACCATTCTCACTAGTTGAAACAGCCAATAATGTCCCTTCCTTACTGAACCGAATGCAAGGGGAAGCCTGAAAAATGATTTAAAAAAATGCAACCACGTATCAAGTCCTGCTCCTAAAAATTAAGTAATGTTTAAAGATACAGAATCTAGCTGTTACCGGTAAACCACCATCAGCATCAATGCTAGTCATAAGGTTAACATTGTCCATGTCCCAATATTTAATTTTGAACTCATCACCAGCAACTAAGAAGCGATTTTTTGCTGTATCAAATTGCACCACTCCCACTGACCGTTTTCCCAGACCAAGATATGTCCTCTTTACAGCCCCTTCACTCTCATTCCACTCCACAATGAATGATTCACCTTCTTTGCTCGTTCCGCAGGAGAATAGCCTACAATTATGTCAGACGGAAAAAGAAAACAAGTTAAGAAAATCATGTCAAGCAAAGAATATGTGAACCCGATTAAAACAAGCAAAACCTAGATATAAAAGGAACAGTTATTATACCTTGTCCCATCAGCACTGTAGGCCATAGTAGTACAAGAATGACCTGGAGCATCATAATCCACTCTTGAACCCATATTATCATATAGCCATGCCTTGATCTTTCCATCAACAGCAGTTGAAAAAATGAACTGAAACAGAACAAAATACAATAAAATATACAGCTATATGGCAAACCAGAGATAGAGTGGAATAGAACTCTTTAACAAACAAAAACTGAGTAAAACGCTTTCCAAATCCATGATAGATGTAATGCAATGGAAACAACTATACATCCCTATACCTCATTTTAAATGTTTGATTCAAGACAAATTGCAAGCTTTTAATTTTAATGGCCATTGATGTGTAAGTTTATGCACAAATTGATGGATTTTTTACTCGCAGTGACGATTAAACATCAGTACACCCATACATAGGCCAAAGATTAGATAATAAATCTTCCATAAAATCATTTTTTTATAATCCATCCAATGTTTAGTGCTCAATTATGCCTTATAGCATCCGTACCTGAATATTTTCCTTATAATGTGGGCATACGGAATAGACGGGTGCCTCGTGACCCTCAAAAGTATACTGCTTAACACCGGTAACTGCATCCCACACCTATGCAAAAATATTTTTAGAATATGCAACCACAAGAATCTTTCAATTACATAAAAATAAGAGTGCAAACCTTGATTGCCTTGTCCTCCCCACAAGTTATAACACACAATTGCTTGTTCGGATGAGAAAAGGCAAGATCATTGACACCGCCAACATGGGCATCAATCTGAAAAAAATAACCAAACAAATTCAATTGTCACCTTGGCTTTTCTTTTTTTTCTACTTCAAAGTAACGGCAAGAGAAATCAAAAGGTGGGGCAAAACATCAGATCTTAGAAACATATTCCTAAATGTCAAAAACAAACCTCAAGGTGGTTCCTTAAATCATTGCCTCCATGATAAGCATACAAGTGAACGATGTGCTTTGAGTATGCAACACCTAGATCAATTTGACAAAAAATATATATTGTTAGCAACGGTGGGAACTGTATCATCTGATCCTTTCAATTGATCGGACAAAGGAAGAATTACAGTGCTTGGTACAAATACTTGCAACAAAACCAACAAATAAGTTGCATCAGAACATACAAGATGAGACCACGAATGTATTCTGGATCTAAAACTGAGGTTTGAAATTTTTACCAGGGTAAACTTGGTCATTCTAACTAAAGAAATTTTAACTAATCCAAATCCAATTAAGGTTTTACAGTGAGATTTGGTCTAAATAAGCCGGATCAGGAAATTTTGAGTCCCGCATTAACTTTTGCAGAATAATGAAAAGTTGGAATCCATCACTTGAAATACAAGTACTGATCTAGATTTGCAAATCAAAATTTAAAATCCAATTCCTGAAGCCACTTTCCAGTTATACTGATTAAAAAAGGGTTAACAAAACATCTAACAAAATCATACACGGAAAGGTTAAAAGGGCTGTCTCATTGCTGATGATAGACTTTTAAACAGATTCCAAATACGCATGGACAAGTTCAAGAAAATTGTCAAAGGATCCTCTTGCTTTCTCCTTTTCTTGTCCTTTTTGTTTTGTTAAGTTGCATGAGGAATTAGATGACAGAGGAAAAACACTTCCGTAAATTTTAAAGACTTTAAATACGTACCAAAAAGATTTCCATCAGGACTCCACATGACACGGTTCACTGATGCAGTGTATTCATTAACCATAGAAGCCTACAAGGAAAAATCAGTAATTTGGTCTCAGTAAACTCATTTCACAGTAACGGAATAGTAGACTTCTCAATACACAAAAATATACCTGAAGTGTCATTGTGCAAGCTCCAAGGTCCCACACTTTAAAATTTCTAACTTCGATCCTCTCCCCGCTACTCACTTCCCAGACAGATATCTCACCAATATTTGTCCCCACTGAAAGAAAGGGAAAAACAGAAACATTACTAACTAGTTTGTTCTGTACGCAGGCATGCCTATATTACTCACACACTATTATCCATTCATCAGCATGGACAACGAAATCGAAAACACTGATGGAATATACAACCAAATGAGAGAGCCATTTCCTCTTGAAGGCAGAAAAAAGTGAAGGGAATATGTTTTCTGCACTTGTCCAATTCACTAAATGTATAAGCATGTAAATGAAAAGATGCCAAAAGCAGTGGGAGCTAACCAAGAAGTAGAGTTTGTTGCACTGGGTGAAAATCCATGCTCTTTACAGCAGAACTCTGATTCAAATTTGCCACCACAGTCTTGGGTAAGTCATCGGCAGAATTCGATGAATGGGCATGGCTCTGGCCCGGATACACAATTGGCAATATGTTTACAGGCATCTTGTTGACCTGCAGATAAAGAATTCATTCGAACTTCAAATAACTAATTCAAATGGGAAGAGAATCTGCTACCCAAATGAAGGGCAATGAAGATGAGAGTCGAGCAACCACGTAAATTGCAGGGCAACAATCAACATGTTATACAACTTCAAACCATTTTAAAGTCAAAAGATCGGAGAGACTTGCAGTCGAAAACGCATTACCTCCTCTGGAAGTCCAAAAGCTCTTGATCTCTTCAACACATGTTCAGAATCTGCAGTTTGATAGTCCAGTGCTGGATTGTTAGTAGGAGGAGTCCTAGGACGCTTTAGCATCATAGATGCTATCATGACATATTGCATAAAAACAAGCAGTGAATTAGGTAGAAGAAGCATGTTCAAATGGGAGGAGGATACTATTATACCAACATGGACACATGCTACACATTTTGTACACTGGTTGTGATTACACCATTGTTCATTAAATGAAGTTCCAAACTTTTTTCCCCAAAAATAAAGTTGTTGTCAAACTTCAACAAGACTAGCAGAATACTGAAACCTTAAAAATCAAAGAACATACAAGTATGCATGAAAGAAGAATCAGACAAATTACCAGCATTATTAGGGGGAGTTAAGCCCATAGGCCCCACAGAAACAGCTTGGTGTGGCACAGAGTTTGCATTGACCATCCATCCTGCAAGCGAGGTCGTCAAAGGAGCAGGAGCATGCTGAAACGGCTGTGAAGGAGACCAACAACAATAATACAAATTATACATGATATTTTTCACCATGGAATAAAGACATAAACCCGATAATTTCAAAAGACTTACACCAGGTCCAATTGGTGGGAAACCACCAACTTTAGGAAGTGGACCCATCAACTGATTAGTGACAGGGGATGGAGCCCGAGCACCATTTGGCTGCCCACAAGTATGGTCCACAAATAGAGTTTTTATATCAGGATTGGGTTTTGGATTCTTACAAAGCTGATGCTGCCAATTTAAACTGCAATTCAAGAAGCAAGCATAGTTATTTTTTTTCATATTACCCTGAGAACCAATCAAAAACATCAAAAAAGAAAAGCACAGTTAGAATTTATTATGTGCCTTCCCTAGATTACCTCTGATTTATCAGTGTTCTCAATCTTGAGTTCTTTAAGCTGGGAAACTGAAGCTTATCACGAAAGAGTGGATTTGCTTCAATCAATTTCTTCAACTCAACAAGCATAATAGCCCTAGCTGACTTAGTATCGCCATACTTCGAAAGCTGATCATTTTCCCTGGTAAGAAAAGTTTCTTCCAATCATAATCAAGAATATAGAGAAACAGTATAATACTCAGGAAAAAAAAAATGATAAATCTCTCTGGGTCAAAACGCCAATTTCACAAGAATGAATTGGCTATACACATTTTTGTCACTAGCACTCCTGAAAACCCCCAAAAATGGGCTTAAATTATCTCTATAAGTGACACAAAACTTACATAAACAATTACAAATGTTAACTTCCTTAATCAAGTTAATTTTGTCCACTAATATATTCCAGATATATTATTACATATAATAGATACGCGTGAGGAACTGTGCTGCTGTTTACACAACCAAAAATCTGATTTCTACACAAAAGACTAAATGAAATTATACTCAAACTTCCAACAAGAAAGTCGATGCATAATGATTACAATCAACAAACCAACACTTAACCAATTATACCTAAAATTCAATCATAATCCCAATTATCACCGCAATCAACACACAACACTTAAATAGTTATATACCTGAAGTTCTGCAGGGTCAATAGCATGGCAATTTCCGGGAATAGATCCTCGTTGAATGTCGAAAATACTTTTAAATCTTTCCTAAGAATCTCCACTGCCTTTGCATGATCACCCCTGTCAATAAGTACAAAAATAAACTTAGCAACCCATTACCAATTTCCGTAAATCGATCGCACAAATAAATTTAAAAGAAACACAGCCTAATATTTATTTTTTTTTTGGTTAAATGCGTACTTGTCGAGGGCTTCGAGATACTTCTGCTTTCGAATCTCAAAGAAAATTTTCATGGAGTAGCGGTTGTCATCAACCTTTGTAAACCCTGACAAATACTTTTCCACCTCATCCCATTCTCCATTAGTCACCGTCTCCTCGAAGTACCTAATGTTGAAGAAAAAACTCGATTCCTTCTCCAATCTTCAATTATTTCCAAAAAAATCAAAATACACCGAAAGTCAAGACATCATTAACAACGAGAACGTAATTTAAAAAAAAAAAAATCATTTCAATAATTGAAGCGGGAGAAAAATAAAACAAAAAGCAAAAAATAAAAACTAAAAAATAAAAAGGAAAGGAAGCAGCCTTACTTGTGCACAGTTTCCTTAAATTTCTCTTCGTCTAGAAATTGAAGAATTAAAAACACAAGCTCTCTGCTTAACGAAGACATCTTATTAAACGATTAAAGCAGTCCTTCCAGAATTTCGCAGATCCGCCGAAACCCCAGTATCCTACGACTTCAAAACAAAAATTGAAGAAAAATCAAATCAAAATCCCTCAGTATAGAAACAGAACCGAAAAATGAAGAAATCAAAAACAAACACAACGCAAACACACGAAACAAAATCGAACGCAAACCACACACAATCGCAAGGCAGGCGCGCATACACACATGCATATGCATATGAATTTTTTTACCTGGGAATTCGTGACGAAAGTACAGATCGATTGAGTTTTTGGGGGTTTTCAGGCAACTTTTTCTCTACTTTTATTTTATTTTATTTTTTTCCGCCCCCTTCCTTAGGCAACTCACCTCTCTCTCTCTCTCTCTCTCTCTCTCTCTCTGTATGTATTCATTTTTTCTGTGTGGGAGAGTCTCTTTATAAAGTGGGGGGAGGTGCGGTGTGTGTTGTGTGTGAGAGAGAAAGCAAGGGTGGTGCTTTTCAAGGCAAGAGAAAATGTAGAAAGTGACGTGATTAAAAAGCGCGACGCGCCCCCAGCGCGTGTCGCTCAAATATGTACGTTACGGATATGAGCTGACTGCACGTGTCCGGTCATCCACGCGCCTCAGGTACGTGGGGATAAGATAAGATGCCATGTGGGATAAGCGATTGCCGTTCTCTGTTTGGGCGCGCGTGGGTCTTCTCATTGCTTTCCGGTTCGTATTAAATGGGCAGTGATAAGTAGGAGGATTTATGATAAGTTGGTGTGCCATGAGTGATACGCTACTCCACTTATAATAGAGCGATAAGAAGACGCGCTTATCAATAGGCAAATATAGCGTGGTCGAGAAGAACAAATCGCGTGAAATTTGTTTTTTTCGTGAGAACCTTTATCTGAGATGTGACGTCACCGACAGCTTTTTAAATGACGAGAGAATTTATCGAATGTTACTCGGCGTGACCACCGTTGGATGAAACCCTAAGGGTAATCTTGACTGGAAATTTTTTTGGTTTGACTAAAATTTGGTCAAACATAAAATAATTATAGAAAAACCACTTATTATCTGTAAATATTAAATATGATGAGATTTAGAAATAATGATTTAGTTAATATACATATTAAATCATGTTTACAAGGAAAATAAGCATAGATATGCATATACTTAATAAATCTAATTAATTTAAGATTTTGATTTAGATTCAATACTCTAGATATGACTAAATTAAATAATTATTTATTAATTATAAAAGTGGATTAGTAGGTTTGAAAAGCCATTTTATTTACTTGAAAAATAGTTTTAAATAAGAGCCAATACAGTGAAACATCTATAAATTAATACAGTCGGGACTAGCAAAATTGTATTAATTTAGCGAAATATTAAATTATCGAAGTAATACATTTACATGAGTCGGGACCAAAATAAATTATTATTTAAGTGAGACTATTAATTTATCGAGATTCTACTAATTTGATATTTAGTATAAAAATAACGTCCGGCGGCAAGCACTTACATGGACTG